TTATTTATTTATTATACTATTTCACCTCTAGTCCTTATAAAAATAATATAATAAATAAATAACTCTTTCAAGTCTAAAGATATTAATATATTATTTTAAAATATTATTACTAATCTTTCTAATTTACAAGGTGTTGTTTTTAAATAAGAGATTATAGTTGACTTGCTTAGTTATTATATAGCCAATATCTAAGGCTATATATATATAGATTTCCCTTCGCGGTATCCGCGAAGGTTGGAAGGGCTGGCCCAGCCCTTACAAATATTAATTATCATTAACTACTAAATCTGCGCCCCGCGGGTATAGATAATAATATAAAAAAATAGTAATAATAACAGCAGTAGATATAGTAGAAGTAGATATAATAAAAGTAAATATATTTATAATAGTAATAATAACAGATCTAGTAATAGTAGATATAATAAAAACAAATATAATAGAAATAAATATATTTATAATAATGGTAATAGTAGATCTAATAGTAGTAGCAGTAGCAGAGATATTCTTTTTTTATAATAAAAAAAATAATAAGATATATTATAAATAATTACCTAAATCTAAACCTATCTTATAAATAATTTATATAGAAAAAGACAGAGTAGAACAGACTAACAAAATCTATAGATATAAAGCTTAAATAATAAACTATAAAAAAATTAATTAGATTTTTATAAAGAAAAAAAGATAAAACTAAATTCTTATAGAACCAAGTCTATAAAAAAACTAATAAAATATTTTAATAATTACTATAAAAAAAAGATTAGTAAGTACTAATTTATAGTAATATCTAAAAAAAAATTATACAAGAAACTTACTAAAAATAAAAAAAAAGAATATTATAGAAAAAAAAAGACTAGAAATCTAAAAAAAATCTTCTTATATAAAAAAAGATCTTATTTTTATAAGAATAGTTTTATTAGTTTTAATTATAAAATATTTCAGGCGGTCCAAAAGAATAATAAAAAAAGATGAATATTATTTATTAAAAAAGAACTATTTTAACTGCAGTAAAGCTGTTTATATTTATTAAAAAAAACTATTATTATTATAGAAAACCATCTAGATATTCTATAAAAAAACTATTTAAATATTATTATAAAAAATAGTCTAGTAGATAATAGACTAAATATTAAAATTAATTATTATAAAAATATTAGATAAATAATTTAATATTTTTATTATAAAAATAAGAATAGTAAAAATTATTTTTTTATTATTTTAATTTCCCGTAAAGCAGTTTACAGAAAGAAGATTTTAATAATATTATTATAAAAATAACCTATTTTTTATAAGAAAAAAAGAATAATTATAAAAATTAAACTAGTTTTTCTAATCTTTATAATATCTATAAAGAAAAATCTATATATATATAATCTGAAAGATTAATTATATAATAATTAAGTAAGCCAACTGTAATCTTTTATCTAAAAATAATATTTTATAAATTAAAAAAATTAGTAATAATATCTTAAGATAATATATTAGTATTTTTAGACTCGCGAGAGTTATTTGTTCATCATATTATTTCATCTCTTAGTCCTTATAACTAATGAGTTTTATTAAAATTTTATAACTTACAAAAAAAAACATAAATATTATAAAATATATAATATTAATAAATTCGGTTGTTTTAAGTTTTAAAAAAGTCTTCAATACTGTAGTTCTAAATAATATAGTCTGTTATATTATACTATGATCTAAGTATTCCTAACTAAACCTGTATTCTTATAAGAATATAAAAACTAGATAGACTATAAATAAATACCATAATATAATTCTTAACTATATATATTTCATTTTAGATTTCTAATATAGTATTATTAATCAGATTGCTACAGGCTGTTATATTATATATTAAAATCAACTTATTAGAATATATATCAAAAAAATCATATTAATCAGACTTATATTCTCAGCTAAGCAAGTTATAAGTCTAGAATTATATGTAATCCGTATAATTCTAAACTTATTTAAATTTTTTAAATATATAAAAAAGTCGTATAAGCAGTTAGCTACTAGTCTTTAAAATCTATAATATAATATATTCCTACTATCTTTCTATCCAAAAAATGTAATAAACTTAACTATTAAAATATTTTAAAATATCTATTATAGCCTCTACTTAATTAATAATAGACTAAATAGAATAATACTTCGGATGCAGCTTGACCAGCATATAACAAACAAGCTGTTTTAATATTATATTAGTATTAGCTTATTTTAATACAATAAATAAGAATATTATATCAATATTTACTTGCTTTTTAACAGCCAGAAGATAAAAAACAAACTGGTAAAGTTTTCTTTCACAAAGCTGGGCGGCATTTTGTTGTGGTTGTTGTTTGTTGTTTATATTAAAGCTTTCGGGGGGGGTTTGATGGTGTCACAACTAGCATGGTACGTCCTGAGAAGCAAGTGGAGATTACACTAGTCCCAAAACGGACTATTCGTGATTCTGTCCGCACTTGACGATTCAGAAAAAGGACCAGAAGGAATTGGGGACGCATCTAACAACGTATCAGGTATGCTAGGTTTATAATGAAGGACAGCAAATACTAGGATTTACGTTCTCGTAGACCAGAACGATCAGCGCAGTACTGTAGGCTACTCCATAGTACTGAAAGGCTACCGCTGGTAACTTGTTTTTAGGATTTCTAAGAAGGCATAAAACTAAAGGTGAAATCCTGAGTAACTTATCACATTTAACCACACAAGTTAGTGTTGCAACCACTATAGCAAGGTTTAGAGTTAAACAGAAATACATCCTCGTTCCCAGAAAATAATCAAAATCCAACAGTAGCACTTTAGCATTTCCCTGACAGGTAGCTTTACTTGCGATAGTAGATCCCGGCGAAGTTGTCACCCTACCTGTAATCTGATTGAATTTCCGCTTTCTGGAATCTCCCGGCTATCGAGCATTGATTATGAGATCTGAGATCATGCCATTTAACATTCCCGTGACAGACATGGAGAATTCCACAGTGCGCTAACCCTAGAAAGCTCCAAGAGCACTGCTGAAGGCCTGTTCTACCGCGTCGAGCTGTGGAGTAAGCGCTTGCATTTGTTCATTCGGCAACTTTTTCTCCAATTCTACTTGGAAGTCGTTCTTTCCTTTGTGCAGTTTCATAAGAAGTGCCTTAGCAGCAGACGTAGCGCCGGCTTGTTTTATAATATCTGCCTAAATCGCTCACCATACCTCCATCATCAGTGCCTGTGGTAAGATGAAATCGAAGTTGACAGGGGCAAAAAGCAATAAACTAGCTAAGTAAGCCGGGCAGAGACATACCTTTTGCACTGCAGTTTTCAGTCCACTCATAAGTATGGGCAACGTGGGATTGATCGCTTCCAGCACCTCGGCACCGTCTTCGCTGGAGATTGGTTCTGAGTCTGCAAGGGACAGCCGAGTCTGCTCGTATTGGTCGTAGGCCTTGTATATGGTGTGCATCACGTTGGCCCCCTCTATAAGCCCTCCGTTGTATTTTTGGAGAGCGATGTTGGAGGCGCTGGTGCTGTCCCTGCAACCCTGGAATTGCGAGAGGATGTGGGACATTGTTACCCCAGCAAATGCTGGAGATGCTGCCAGAATAGCAAGAAGGGCGACGGATTTGATGTATAGCATGGTGATATGCAGAGGTGATTGGAGCCAGAGAGAGAGATAGAGTGAGCTCAGACGTTACTGGCAGTGGTTCTTGACCTTATGTACCCTATATAAGGGAGGTGGTAAAGTATAAATGCCCACAACCCCTACATAGAATAACGCACCTTGCATCCTTTATCTCTCAACAACAATGTAACATGTTTCAGTGTGAAAACTATTGAACCATTTCAAGGATATACGGACCGCTCATACCTTTCAGCCAATCCCCCACAGTACCGATCTTCGGGTTCAGGGATGATCCAGCCCCTTGCTTCTCTCATAATGTGACCTCCCTTATGATCGTCTCTTCTTCTGCAAATGATATATCCTACACAGGATACGCAGCGTAGATTGAGGAACTGATTGCTAACATATTCTGTCCCTCGCTATCTTTGCCAGGCAGGAGAACGCCCCTTCTCTAGGCATGTTCGACTTAATGTATCAAGACCTGGCGGATTAGCGATATCGCGCTGGAGGAAATCATTCTTTCAGATGAACAGCGAAGAGTTGGCTGCGTTCGTAACATTATACTCTGAGAAAGAAACGGCTTTGCTTGCTAAACCAGATTCGGGCAGATTTAGACAGATGTAGCACCCGTACCAAATCAGCTCGTTTTTTAGGGTTAGTGCAACTGCAGCTTCCAACTGACCAAGCTTATTCGTGGACATATTTTTTGTTGTTGGTCAAATTGCTGGCGCCGTCGGCATCGCTTCTGATTTACCCGGTAGACTTCTATACTCCCGAGAAACCTCTGTTCCACCAGTCCATTTTTGATGATCCATTCGGCCGCCTCGGGTGTATCCAATCACTGTATCTTGAGCAAAGATCGTTCTTACAGATACCACCGGCCTCCACATAACATATATGGTCAAGCCACAATGGGCTCTGAGTATCCACGTCACATGTGAGGCCCGACACGTAGCAAGATATCATATACCTTGTGAATTGAAGATGGCTGGCTCTTCTTGTTACCGTTTTCATTTCAGTTTCAACAGGCAAAATTGGGAGCCTGCTGAATTCTGTTTCTGCAACCGGAGTATGAGTATTACAATCTCGAAACAGCAGTACCTCATGGAAAATTCTGAACCCCTGATCGCATAGAGTGCTGGTTTCTGGAAAGCATACAGTAGGTTTCAGTTCTAGTTTCATTCTTTTGTTGGATAAGAAAGACAGCCACAGTGATATGCTAACCAAGTTGCTTTCTCGCCGTTTTCTCGCCGTTTCCATTGAAGATTGTTTGGTCCAACAATGCGTGTACGACTTTTTCAGGCGGGCTCAGAATGGAACTCTCGTACCGTCGTAAGCGGCGGACTTTCGATGGCCAAGCAGATGGATGCGGGCGTGCCGAAGCAATGCACGCACTCCACACTATAGGAAGAATCCACTCGATCATGCCGTTGTTCGGTGACAACCTGGTCCAAGTAATGAATCGGCCCTGATCCGTTACTATAGTTCAATGAAGTGTGATTATATTTTCAATTTGTTTTTCAATTTGTTTTTCAATCTGTGATATTGAAAGTCAGCAGACCTATAGTTCTCTCGTCAAATACGAGAAAGGGGCTCCGAGATACCTTTTCGCACACTTTAAAGATATTGTGACTCTGTGTACTCGACGCATAGGCTTTTCGACGTATACTCTGGATATGGATTCTGAACATATGATAGAATTGTCGGCAATCTGAAACAAGCAGAGACTTCAGTTCGAGCTTTTGCTGGTCTGGTATGGGAATCTCATGGCAAAATAGAGCCTCGTCGCAAAGGCAAATTCGGAGTAGTATAACGGCTTTCAGAACTGTCATAGCCACGCAACTGAAGGCAGATTTCTCGGTAATACCAGAGCAAAACAGAATAGAGCCTTCAGCATGTTCGAGCGCATCAAGAATCATTTCGGATGCGCAGTTGAGCGCTGACTGTCTGTTCGCCGGCTTGAACAAGTCGTCCCAGTTGTCAACGTATTTAGACCAGATTTCCCGTGGCCACAACTGGCGATTGTCATCATAGTCTTCTTTCACATCATGGATGGCATTCACTCTCTGAAAGAATAGTGCCACGCTTTTGTCGTGCTCCATGACTTCTGATGTTGCAAAGCCCGCTTCGATCAACATCTTCGAGACCCCTTCTCCAACACTGACAGCAGCATCGTAGCAGTAGAGATCATAATCATGGATACTCTCAATCCGAAATGCATTCGTGTCTCCCTTTTCCCAAAAGTTTGCCATCCCTTTACCCATTCGGGCAGCTACACCCTTGATGATAAGCTGATATTTGGGATTCAGCCTCTTGAGTTCAAAAATCACGTTATCGAAGTTGAGCAACAAGTTTCGGTCTTTCTCTGATGGTCGGTTACCGTCGAACGTCCAACCGTCAATGTCAAGAATGTCGCCAAACCCACGGAGAATAGGTACTTTGGTAGTGATGGGTATCGACATGTCATCCTCGATAGTATCTAAGGCCCGCAAGACAAGATAAAAGATGCACAGTGGAAGACGTAACTCAGGATGCATGTACTCGCACACTGCATATGTTTTGCTCACGCCATTAAGCAGACTGAAGCAGCTTCTTTCGGACTCGGAATAGATTTCGTGCCCAAATATTGTGTTTTGAACGAATCTGGCATCAGGGAACGGTTATGTGGTGGTCAAAAATCTCTGGTGCAAAAAGTACACCGTATGATTGGGCCCTTGTTTACTTACAACTGGACACTAAGTCGCAATAAGCCGAAGCGCTGGAGGAGTGAAACCATTGCCTGGAAAAAAATCTGATTCAGTGCCTTGGATACAAAACTAGCAATTGCACAGTCTGTTTGAGGAGTTGTGCAGTGGAAAGAACATATCTATTTGTACTTGCTTTAAGGCCTCTAGCATTGCCATGGACACAATTGCCCAAACGACTCTCCCCCGCTAACACTACCTAGCGTCCCTTGCATTAAACGCTACAAGTCCGTTTCGCTGAACATGCGGTGAGTGAGTCAAGTACGATGGGCTTGAAATTGGCAATAGTGTAGGTCGAGATGTGGATCCTCTAACTTGCTACTGCATCCTAGAAACGTCTCTGATCAGGTACTAAGCGAACGCTAAGTGGAAAAGTACAACACCCAGAAAAAATAACTTTCAGTGGCAAAGACGGACCGTTCATAATAAGAATATACGTTGGATATGTCGAATATACCTATCGTTGCAGTTAGCCGCCTAGTGACCTGTCCATTCATCACCCAGCTCCTGCGACCTCCCTCGGCCCATCTTTCCCGCCCGCCATATCAAGGCTTCGGCATTTCGTGGGGAGCGGGCAAGTCTACCCAAGCAAAAGACGGCGGAAACGCCTAAAAAGAGCGGACAGTAAGTAATGCGGGAGCAAGTGTTATTACCTGCCTACTACAGTAGACAAGCAGTTATAATCTATTTTGGCTTACCTAGAAATGCTTCGTGTTGTTTGGCTGCTAATAGAACGTTGTACTGTATGCCGGACTGTCATTGACACACATCAGCTCCTTTTGAGTATCTAAAGCGTCCTACTTCGTCACTACCGTGTTCAACGCTGTAATATCATCCACGAAGTCAACATGTTCTCTCCCTTGCGGTCATGGTACGCAGCTCTCTATCATTCCATGTACGACACCAATTACAAGCCGCGACCCGTGGTTTCAACCTCTGAACTACCGTGCATATAATGTAATGTTTGGTCCCGCGGATTTGGTAATATGATTTTGACAAGGCAGCTTACTTGATAGGGGACTTGAACTTACCTGCTCCCGCGTCCACTGCTATAACTGCCATTGTTTTCAATCAAGATTTCTGCAGAACTCTTGGACCTGGTTGCAAATATGGCGCAAATGTTTAGACTCTTCCTTCAAATCTAAGCCCTTAATCTCAGCTTGATCGGGTAAAGCTTCGATGAAATAGCTAAGATCCGCATAACTCACTGGCTTTGGTGATAAACAATGTATCATTTGCGCGTGCTGGCGGGTACACATTCGCTTGGCTGCTCTTTTGCGTAGAGCGGTTCGCTCACAGCCTCACTTTTCAGAGCTTCTTAACGTGCTGCGCATCTAGCTACTTATTTTTACCCATCTTACATGGAAAAAATAATCTTTCTCAATGAAGAATGTAACTACCGCGGTCTAAGACGGAAAGGGTACAACACCAGAACCGTCGCTTAGAGAGGAGACTGACGCTAGAAGTGACTTCTCTTGCTAATCTTGAGCCTAAGGGCACAAGCATTGATTATTATCTGGGAAGGACTTCAGTGTGACAGCTGCCAGAGCCCGAGACATCAGCACTGGCGGCCAGAGACAATCGAAACAAATGCGTGGACTGGTCCACGTATCTTCACTCCTTTCCTGGCCTGTTTTCTTGTTCCTTTGTGGGGTTTCCAGAATCCAGCTCCGGATACCATTGGTGAAAGCTTTGAGATGCGGTACCAACAGCTATCCTCCCAAGCAAGTGTGCTAAATTCCCAGCACAGTAGTACTTTTGTCCTTATCGGTGATACTCTCCGCATCTCAATGATAAATGAGGACTCCCTGATTACTATTGGATTCATCAATAAAGCTCCTTGTCGCTTGCTCTTTCATCCACCCCGAGAGTTTACCACTTCTTTTCAGATCCTCTCTCATCTCTTGTGACACCCAAATCAACTTTCAAGTCCACCTTCCCGCTCACGAAAATACTTCGAGTGCCACTTCCAGTCCTTCCATCGATACCATCAACCATCCAAACATGGAACGAACCAACAAAAGGAGGCGCGCCAAAAGCCTGGCGAAGCAGAAAGCAAAGGAAGAGGCAGAGAAGAAGGCAAAGCGAGAGGAACGGCAGAAAGCAAAGGCGCAAACCGAGTGGGGGAAGAACAGCATCCAGAATGCGCTACATGGACGCAAGCACAGTGTCTGGGACCGTGATCTCTCTACTTTGGTGCCATTGCTGCGGCGGCTGATACTCGCACTGGCAAGCAAATGATGGCAGTGTCATATGTGCTCGGGGTGGTCGAAGAACGAGCGTGTGTGCGACCGCAGGCTCTCCCGGCGTCTGGCTTGCAAGCACGAGCGCTGCCCGTCTTGCAAGCCTTTCCTTTCTCGGCAGCAAACTCGGAAAATCGCCATGTCGTAGAGGAGGATTAGAAGGCTGCGGGTCGGAAGACACTTGCTTCCATCGCCGCAGTGACTCGTTTGCGATGCTCTACATAACTGTGTATTGAGACTCCCAGACAGAACTCCCCACACACCTAAACGCATGAAGAATAATCAAATGTCATGTTCGGCTACAAAAGATGCATCATGTGTAGCATTCGGTGTAAAGATAAGGCACCGAGGTAGTGTCCTCTCATTGGCTTTTTTGTCTCTCCGTCGTGCCGCCTTGCTCAGCACCCTCACTGCAAACGCGGGCGCCGACAATTCCCCCGCTCTTCACTTGTTTGATATTCGTACTTTGTACAGTCCAACCACATCACCACCGTGTCTGTCAAGACATTTGTGTCCGATACCTTGGCTCTTGCCGTCACTTCCGTGAATTATTACGCTCCATGTAATACCCTACGCACTCATAGGCACCTCCAATTACAGCATCAATCGCAGGTTTGCACCGTGATAGCCCTAGTGCCGCCTCCCGCCAGGTGATGCGTAGTAGTCGGATTAGTAGCGGAGTGAAAGCGATTTCAATCTCCATTCCCCAACGAGACCGACAGAATGATTTCGTGTTGTCGTTGTATCAAACGTCGTCACTACCCGCGCGGATGATCGTCTTGTTGTTGGGGTGGGGTTTGCCCATTGCAAACAAGGAAAGGCGAGCAGTGCAAACGAAGAAGCCGCGGTCCACGTCTCTGCCGCACACCGACTCTTCGGATCCAGCCGTGTGAGTACCAAACAGACAAGACGAAGATCGATCCCTTTGGTACGGTTACTTGGTTAACAACGCCTAGTCTATTTCTTGTCTCTGACGGCAAATGTCCGATGTCCCGAGGAAGTGCCTTGGAGGGCCAAGGCTTCCAATCACTTTGCCAGAGCGACAGTCATAAAGGTATCTTCCAAGAGCTCGAGAGCCTGGTGTGTGAATTACAGGCTGGTGTTTGTGTTCGGGTCTGCGCCCGTGCCTCCTTTGAGAAACAGGCTATTGGAGACGGCGTTTGGAAGCACGGATGCGAGAATACGCGGTTGGGATGGTTGGGCTTTCAGCGTGACTGCAAACGCATCCCAGGGGATCTACTTCGGTATAGGGTGATTTCTCTCAGTGTCATCTTGGGGCATGACATTGCACATACTGGATTTCTGCACCATTCCTCACATCGCGTCGATGGGCGCCAAAGCAACTCAAGTTCATTACGTAGGGTGGGAACTTCGATGTTTTCATGATGGTGAGCTTTATAGACCTTAATAAGATGCGGGATCTTGATAAACAAGAAAAGACATGGGTAGGTGATTATGACAGGGTACGATAACCTTTTCGAGACGTCTCAAAAAAGGGGTGTAGGCTATTCGTCTTCGGCGAGGACTCTAGTATAGCATTGTCACACCTTTCGAATTTCAGTAGGTAGACACCCCGGAGTCTTTTCATACCATTATGGTGATACAGCTATGTTCTGATTGCATACATGGGAAGATTAATGAGAAAGGTTGTAGAAAAGCCTTGGTGTGCGGCGTATAGTTTCTCCTAGTTCGACCAGCCGTAACGGAAATCGGAAAAGAAAACAGATTTCGATACAATGAAACCAATTTCACCACAGTAGAGAATGCCCTAGGCTCTGACTTCCTCATACAATGGCCCTTTGAAGTTTAACGGACTTACTAGACATATGTTAGTCCCGGCCGACTGGCCGACAACCGTCAGAAAGGTTGGACGGTGATTTGCTCTTATTATTCAACAAGATGTCACAGAATGGAGTATGGAGAAGGGCAGAAAATTCAGACTACCAGTAGAAAGCTACATAATCACCATTTTCTACTTTGGCCAGCACCACTAGACCACAGTAGCAGACAGAATAACAATCTGTCAGCTTCAACGGCCTCGTATGGTATTATTTTAGACAATATTACAAAGGATCAAAACACAGACTCCTAGAACAATATACACAGAGGTTAGAAGGGTAAGTGTCGATCTAGTTATGAAGTACAGCACTTTTAGGTTTGTATTCCTACATCTTTGGTTAGTTGGTTGTATGGGGCCTTTTCAAGCACAAGTAATGAATTTCATTTCATCAAATGCCAAATTCCCTGCTCTTACCGCAAATATAATATGTAGATATACCAAGGAAGAATGAAAATGACGGATTCGACTAATCCACTACTTACATTTTCACACGATGTATTTAGTACGATGAAGTTGAGATGAATTATATATTGCAATAGTAGATCATGTGTAAGCTGCTAGTAATGAGTATGTATCAATTTGGATGTGTTTGTTGTCCGCACCGAAAGAATACACATATGTAAGCATCCATATACCTTTTTCAGAAGTCTGCTTTTGAGACATTGGCGTGAGAGACTTTGAGGGAATTGTGTTTCCAACTGTATCTGCATACCAGGTTCACTGTGCTATGTCTGAGATGGCTTGCAGAATAACTGACGCTTTGGCACTGATCAGTCTACCTTCTGCAGCGGAGGCAATGCCGCCCTCGGCGAATGCCTGGCCAAGAGACTCAACGGCATCCACGCCGAAGGATGTCTCATCCACCCGATGAAGCATCATAGCACCATGGGTACAAACTCTGATCCGATATAAACCCTCATCCCGGGATTTAGGCACCAACTGCCCGCCCGTCTCCGCCACTTCCATGATGTCCGGATCGAACACATCCCCCGGCTTGAAATGTGCGAGCTCATAACGCGTCCCCCGGACAGAGAAGCATTTCGCACGAAAGAGGAACGCGTCCGTCAGTAGCTGCCGGAGGGACCCTGCAAGATTCAGTTCTACGCCCTCCGGCTCGGTCGGATCCAGCACTGGGGTAAAGATCTTCATAAATGCATCTTGCACTTCTTCCACGTGGGCGGGGACCCACGACTGTCGGTATGCATGGTCCTTCTCCGTCATATGCTGAAGGGCGCACTGGTGAATTACTTCAAGGGTTCCGTTGGGGGCTGATGAAAGATTCGACATGTATGAGTTGGTCAAGGGTCAACTCTCCTGAACGTGTGGAAGGCTCGACTCACTGCTATTCTCGATCACCTGTTGATAGCCCCGCAGCATATAGCCCTCGCAGTGCAGTGCCGCCCAGCAGTTGGAATAGAAGACGCGCGACCGCACGAAAGTGAAGATGGTTGCGCACAGTGCCTCCCTGGGAGAGCAAGTGAGTAAGTGTACATCTTCCGCGAGACTCTCCTTGATTAGTGCGTTCAGGCCCGTGCTGTCTGCGTCTGAGTTCACCAATCGCCGGAGCTTGTCCTTGCATACGGCGCGGGAGAGATAGGATGCCGCGTTCGATACATTCTGCTGGAGCACCTTCATCTCATCCCAGAAGTTCGGGATGGACTGGTGGGTTCCATCCGCTCGATCTCGAAGCACATGCTTCAATCGGCGTGAGGAGTCGAGCTGCATCTCCAATTCCCTGATTTGCGCGGTCTTGTGGTTCACCTCCGTGTCCCTCTTCTCCAACTCGGCACTGAAGAAAGATGAAATGCCATTTATTCTCTGCTCGGTATTCTCCGATGGTGAGAGGATTCCTGCTCGCCGCATGTCTTCGTACTGATTTCGGGTCTGGTTGAGTTTCTTGTTCGCGTGCCGCAGGTCTTTCAGGGTCTTTTCTAGCTCCTTGGTTATGCGACGATTCTCCAAAACCAGAAGATCATTCTGCCGTCTCAGGAGTTGGTGCTGTCGCCTGAGTAAACAGGTTGGTCCAAGCCCAGGATCATTTTTGTTAGGGCTCCCTGGGATCTGGGCGGCGGGAGACCGGTGCTTACGCTTTTTTGCCGAAGCACGATATTTTCCAGCGCGGTTTATGTTCGTGAGCTTGGCACCCGCTGGGGTTGAGAATTTAGTAGTCTGGGCAGCAGAAATTTTAGCCAAAGTGAAGAGGCTAAAAGTGGTCCGGTGGACGGTAAAGGTACCTCGGGAGGAATGGAAATCTCGATGGTGGGTTGGGCCGAGGATGGCGGTTCACCGCGCTTTGTTTTCTGTTCTGCAACGGACTTCTGGCTAGCAGTCACGACCTGTTTCTTATGCCCCTTCCGTTGTTTTTGACTCGTACTCCTGGTTGTTGGGATCTTTGACACCGGCATTTGGACCCTCAACGAGCATGGCGGTGGAGGAGATTCCCCTTGGCGTCGTGTCTCATGGCGGCTATGGACAACGGAGCCAGCTTCCCAGAAGTCATCAGAGTTAAAAGAGATAGGGGAGGATAATGAGCTTTCGCTGCTCATCGTCATGAAAGAGAGATGAGATGATTGTCGTCTGCTGACTTGGTCTCGTCCGTTGCCGTAGACGGTCGGGGCGAGCTGGGAGAGGTCGTAAGTCTTAAAGCCTTACCGCTAAAGAAAGCCTCGTCTGGAGCCTTTGTCTTGGACCAGCAACCAGCAACCGGGGGGCAGGTTTTCAAATCACGATGCAAGCTGAGTGGGGTAAACAAGGTCGCGTATCATCGCAAATTAAGAGGCCATCCAGCCTGGCCAATGGTTCCGAGGCGTGAAGCCGCGGCGCAGTCAACATGTGCTGGTTAGTGCACGATAGTGTTCAGCGCTAACAGATAATCCCTGCCACCAACACAGCCTTGCCTGCCCCTGAGTCTGTATCTATCATCGATGGAATAAGAAAAGGGCAAAACAATCCCCACCGTCAGGTGAGCCAGAAGCTGTTGCCCGGGTTGCGGCTGCCGCGATCACTTTTTGACAGGTCAGTAACGCAGAGCTGTGGTTATAAATGCAGGTATCGGCATGCCGTCGAAGATTGTCCGTTTGAAGACCCCAAGCTAGATCAAAATGGATACGCAAGATATTTTGACTCCACCAGGTGGCCAGCCCCGTGCGTTAACCCCCGCTTGGAACAATGGAGATACCGAGCCAGTCTTTGAATCCACTCGAAAGCAGGCGTCGCCTCAGGGCAGATCACGCTTCATTGTGGGGATAGACTTTGGCACTACGACCACCTCGGTGGCCTACTGTAAGCTGGCAGCCGGTCAACGGCCACTGAGGGTACCGAACGACGAGATCAAATGCATCCGTCAGTGGCCGTATGCAGGCGAGTATCAGAACAGCGCGCTTGTGCCCAGTGAAAGCCTATACTCTGACGATGACTTCTCGTGGGGCTATCGAGTGCGCGACCAGCTGATGGCCGCACACTACGATGACGCTCCGGAGGTACATGACGCGTCCAGCCGTGCGATCCGGTTTGCTAAGCTGCTGTTCGTGGATGAGGAACGGCTGGAGGAGCAGTTCCTACAAGAGCAGAAGAACACCATCGCAAACCTCCACACCAGCGTGTTCGACGTGGTCAAGGACTACCTTCGCCCGATCCTTTGGCATACCATAGATACACTCAGAGATGCGGAGGAGGATTTCGATGACACCAGTGAAGTGGAGTTGTCCGTCGCAGTCCCTGTCGGCTGCTCGTTCATCTCCACTGTCGCGCTGGAAACCATCCTGACAGATCTCGTCGAGGAAAGCCAGCTCGAATCAAACTTGGACCTATACCTGATCCATGAGCCTGAGGCTGCCTCGTCATTTTTCATAGATACTTTGCTTCGCTCGGACGAGCTCTCGGTTCGTACATGTTTCTCAGGCTTCTAACGAGCGTGAATGAAGGCTACTGACATCGCTTGGCAACTGCAGGGAGAGGGGGCCTTTATAGTTTGCGACGCAGGAGGTGGTACGGTTGTGAGTCAAATTCAAAACCTGTTAGCCCCTGAAAGGCAGACGACACTGTGCTCATTCCTTTGGCTTCATAGGATGTAATCACCTACACCGTCCTTCAGGAGAAGCCATTGCGCCTAAAGGAGATTGTTCCACCAGCAGGTGAAGTTGTTGATACCCTCACAAAGAGATATGGCTAACTGTAGTGCGAAGGTGCAAGTTGCGGCTCGGTCTACGTCAACCAGGCGATGGAACAAGATCTGACTGAGCGTCTGCGCGACGTTAAATTGTGTCAGGGGATTATCAGAGAGCGTGAGATCGAGCGAATGTTTCAAGACTTCGAAAACAGGCTGAAGAGGAACTGTAACTTGGCGCAGGACCGCCTTGATGGCTATGAATATCTGGATCTCCCTGGCTTGAAAGCGGACCCTGAGAGGGGCTTCAAGACAGGAGCGGTAGCGATTCCTCGGTCTTTACAGCCCCCTCCTCCCAAGCCTCCCACTGGTGACTTGACACAACCGCTGACCTGTACATCATAGACGAACGCTGAAGGAGTACTTCAGGAAAAGCTTGGAGGGAACAGCCAGCCTTATTCAGGCCCAGCTTGATTCAGCGGGGCGAGAAGGTTATGTAGTCAAGGTACATTTGCCGGCCAGATCGTTTGACAGACCATCGATGATGCTCACCGGGTGATAACACAAACAGAAAGTACTCATGATAGGTGGCCTTTCCCAGTCCAAGCCGCTTCGTCAGTACCTCAGGGAACGATTTGCCTCCTTGCGATTGAGATTCATCTTCCCGACCGAAAGGTACGAGGTCACAAACGCGATTGCCCCAGTCCGATCTAATTGAGACCTTCAGCGAGGCCGGAACCCTAGTGTCGCGGGGATGCGTGTATCGTGCCATCGATAAAAGCAATGGGCCACATCGACAAATCGTAGCCAACATTGGCTACACACAGAGTGAAGAATATGATCCAAAGTGCGCTGCTCACCGGGATGTTCGGCCGGAATTCCAGATTTTGATGAGACAACGATACGTCTATAACTGCATCAACTGGATCTTCAAGAAGGTAAGAGAGGGAACCAATGGAACCCGGTCTGTCCAAAGTCGCCAGGTCTTAATATTGATCCCTATCTCCTTTCAGGGAGACATCATGAAGCAATCTCAGTGGATCGTCGGCAACTTTCATCAGGTCTTCGAGCCTGATGAATCGTTGATCGTGAACCATACTCTCTATTATTCCGAGCAAGACAATGCCGAAAACCACTATCCGGAGAGCCATTCGAAAAACGGGAGTAAGTACTCCCCTAACGGTGATTATCGAGTCCGAAAGATACATTTCTGTCTTCTTTTCTTTGCACTGACCCCCATGTCATCAGGCTGTGTGCATATTGGAACGGTAGTCGCGGATTTAGACGTGTTAAGGGAGCAGGGTCTTATTAGACCAGCTACGAGGTACAAGAAAAATACCGTGCCCACTCTACGCATTCCTTATGAGCTCCACATAGCGGTAAGCGGCCGAAGCATTCGATTTAGCGTGGTATATCCGCCAGGTAGTCAGAAGGAGCGAGGTAGCACCCAAGTCAGCATCGCAGCGTCGTTCGTACCAAGCACGATGTGATAGCGTCAGCTTTCCGAGAGATATAGCCTCATTGCTTAGGTGTCAATACAACGCTTTCATTGTTCTATTTACAAATATGGGCCATAGGCAGAATGGAACAGTGGGGAAGGAGTTCACAATGGGGTGTGTAGTTGCACGGTCTGGCAAGAGAGGTATGGGAGCTTGGCAGGCGAGAACAGGGCGAAGTCGCAGGCATATGACCCCACTTGACATGAGGTACTAATATCTAGGTGGTACATTGACCTAAGGAACACTGTATTCAACGGACACATGGTTCCGCTCCCAACACTATTATCACCGACGATGATGGAATCCTGACGCGGATTTCCGGAAGACGAGTCATCGTTAAGGCCCATTCATCTATGACTCTTCCAACAGTTCAACCTTTTCCTCTTATCTCTGCTTCTCAAAGTGTCCTTCGACAGTTTCTTTAACCTACTGCATCAGCAAACATGAAATCGTTCTTCGTAGTTATAAGAAGACTATGGGGAGCCCTTTTCCAAAGGCAAAGACAGCGATGCAGATTCTTCCTGATCCCAGAGTTACTAGAAATGATTCTCCTTCATTTCAACATGCGTGAGTTGCTCTTGTCATCTCGCGTCTGTCGCCATTGGTACAATGTCATCCAACAATCCAGCCGAATCCAGAGAGCATTGTTCTTCCGCCCCAGCCTTCCGCGCGCCGCAATCGGTGAACCGGGGCTGAAGAACCCACTGGTGCGGGACCAGATATGGGACGAATTCTTCGTCCGCGTACTCGACTCGCGTCGGCGACCCGGGAACGAAAGACACCATCTTCCGAAGATGAGATCCCGCAAACGGGAAGAGGCGTATCTGCGCCCTGAAGCCAGCTGGAGGAGGATGCTGCTGCACCAGCCGCCTACTTCATTCATCCGGTTCCTGGATCCAGATTGGTGCTGGTCGGTGCCGGGAATTCCATACAGCCACGCATATTGATCGCAGCCGGCGGCGGAGCGTGGGGCCATCACGCTGGGCGATCTGGAGCGGCTAATCGACGCCGGGGCGATCGTTCCCTCGGCCAGGCCGTTCGTTTGCTGTCCGGAGGTCATACGCCAGCCGGTCCGGTGGCGGGAGGCGTACGGCTGGCTATCCGAAGGCGACAGTTACCGCCGGGCGTTCGTGGACCGATACCTCGAATGCTACGACTTGGTCATCTATGTTGACGATGAGACTAACTGGCACTGGCAACGCACTTCTACACCCACGCCGTTCACGGAGTGGGTCATGTCTGCGGGTCTGAAGCTGCGAAAGCTGGAGACCCCCGCTGAAGCATTGATCAATGGGAAAGAGGGTGACGAGGTGTATCGAGAATTGGCTCTTCTTCGTGGCTTCTGATATATCACGACATTGCTCGCTTTGTGGTGGATAATTTGCTTGCTTCTAGTAAAAGGTGTTTTACAACTTTTGTTCGTGATGTGAAGCACTTGGTCGATTGGCCGCTAATGGTCAACTATACCACCCTCAATACTGGATGGTAACCACTAAGCGCACTCATCGTATGCCGGATACTACTTACATTGCACAATAATAGCTATTGTAGGAAGCAGTGTACCTTAATCCAGTGTTAGCCTTTTTAAAACAATATCCGCCAAGTGCTTTCAGATGTCTTGACTAAACATATGATTGCAGGTATTCTCCAACAGCAGTTTCTACCAATGTTATTCTGGGCTCTAGAAGATAGTTATAGCTTTTAGGATTCGAATTGAATCTAGGAGCTTGAGTAGCGTATCTCGAGATCTGTTTACAAACTCTTTGCATTGAGACCAACACTTCTGTATGACACCTTTCCTGTACCTTATATTGTTAGTCGGTGTGAGCGGTAATCCAGCCCTAAGCACTAGTGTTCGAGCAGAAAAACACGAACTCCTCTGTCCACATAGGCTGTAGCCTCGTTGGAAACCCCAAAGTAGATGAAAATATGATTCTGCGTTTCAATTATCCTTTAACTAACACTCTCACTCTGACTCAGAAACCTGCATCCCCTGCGGGCCGAAAGACCGCGCGAAGCTTTCCGTCTCAGGATTCTCCGCCCACGCCCGGTACGCACTCCAATGGACCACCGGGGACCGCTCACACATCTCCGACCAGCTCATGTTCGAAATATTTACATTCATATAGACCCCTTCCGCCTCTTCCAGATTCCTCCGCTCGTACCCATACCCCGTGGAGAGGTGTCCAAACGAACGGCCCGTCCCGTCCTGAAACCAGACATCGCCGCCCTCGTGCGAGGCGACGATGATCGCCTCCCAGTCCTCCCGCTCATCGGCCGGCTCCATCGCATCCGCCAGCGTCCGGCGGTCAACAGCCAGGAACTGCAGCGGCGGGTGGTTGTTGCCGTGTTGGTGGGCGAATTCCCCCGAGGTCTCGAAGTACGCCAGCAGGCCCTGCATGTCCGGGGAGACCAGTCGGTCCGCGACGTCGACCCACATGTATTCTTGGTCGGGGCACGGGAACAGTTCCGCGCGGATCCGGCGGAGCTCGGATGGCGTCATGCGTTCGAGCACGAAGATCACGTCGCTGCCCAGGCTGCCGGCGATGTCGTCCGGGTCGACGATGGGTTCCCCGCCGCCGCTGTGGGCGTGCAGGTCGTACATGGCCGGGTTGTAGCGGTAGGGGCCCCGGGGCATGCGGCTTGGGGTCCGGGACTGTGGGTGCCAGGCGGCCGTCCAGAAGTCTTGGACCTTCTCGAAGGGTAGGATTTCCAGCTCCAGGCGCTTGTCCCGCGGGTCGAACACGCTGTACCCGCTGGCGCCCCTGGCGCGGACGACGTGGTAGCCTTCGTCGTCTTCGTCGATGAAGAGCGCGAAGGCCTCGTCGATCTCTGGATGGCGGATCTTCAGCGCCTGGAACATGCGGTAGAGCTGCGCGCGGGAACAGGGCTCTTGGTGGGGCGGCCAGTTGTGGATGAGGATGCGTTGACCGATCATCGTCTCGAGGTTCTCCTGGACGACTGGCGGGAGGTGGATGAGTGAGATCAGAGTCGGGGTGGACGGGTCGAGCTGTAGCCCTGATAGATGCGGTGGGAGGACGCCGTTGGGTTCCTATGGCCCCCTCTTAGCATGGTTCCGTTGATTCATGGTCGCAACATGGGTGTTGGATTACCTTGAATGTCGGTTCTTGGCTCCGCTCGGGCTGGATGCGGGGGTATGTCGGTGGTAGTATGCCACCCTCAGCCACCACGGCTAGCAGCATATTGGCCCGGCTAAGCGGCACCCGCGCAGCTTCGGGGGAGGATTCCTTGGACGCCTTCCAGGCGATGATCGCTGTATGATCTATGCGAGACTGGTCGTCGATGAATATGACTGGATCATTCCTGAGTATCATGAAGACCACCGATGTTGGCGGCACGCAGTCCATCAACCAAGGGATCTCTACCATCTGCCGCAGTTCCGTCGAAGGACGATCTGGCCAGTTTTCATCCACGGAGCTGAGTTCTGTCATCATCGCAACACGCTCTGTGTCCTCCATGGGGCAGATAAATACCACCTGCCATGTCGGAGGTGCAGTCCCGCGGAAACGAGAGAATTCAAAGAGACTGGGGAGCAGCCAGGATGGAGGCGTTGTGGTTGTCATCATGGCTTGCCGCTGGTATTGAAGCAAAAGGGCTTCTTAGAGATTGACCAAAACAAAGTTCAATTTCCAGAAAATGATAAGGGGAGATTACTAAGCTAGCTAGGCAACAGTGGTTTAGTGTCTCGATTCTGCCTGTTGAGAATGAGTCGACCCCTTAACAGGAAATACATAAGATGAGGAACTCGCGTGCTGAGGGCTATTGTAAATGAGTTCTTGAGTTGCCCGGGACAGGTGAGCATCCGAGTATATGCAAGTCACTTGCGTTTGTGTCACTTCATCTACAGTAGTGGAGAAAGCCTTTTGTCCCCTGGGCGCGCATTCCTCCTTTGCGCCCCACTTTCGCCAAGAAAGTTGTGTCAGATCAATCACACTTCAAAGTGTACAGCAGAGCAACAGTCTGAGCATCAATTAGGGCTGCCTTTTTGGAAGCGGGCAATGCGCGGGTGGGAGCGAGCCGCACTGCCGCGGTGGCCACTGCAAGGTCTGCCGTCTGCCGCTACGGTATGTCACCACAAGCGCGGTGCAGAACATGGCGTTGTGCTCGTTCACAAGAGTGAGCCAAGAGTTGCTTCAATAGACGTGACATGTTCACTCCGCATACCATCATCTCCTCTGTCCATCTCCATATTCACGTGCTCTGGTCCCACCTGTCTGTGACACATATTTGCGCCGTCTTTCGGGCACTAGGAGACATAGGTCAAATCTTATATTTAGCCCACTCATCAAACCCACATTCCAGAACAGTAGTCAACCTCGAAAACGCATAGTAGAATCCCTGGAACCCAGTCAACAACTTTGCCCTGCCATCATCTCACACGGAAGAGACGAACCTGAAGCGAGATGATCTGCACGACCTCCCTTCCCGAAAATTCCTGCCTGACACGCTCCCACAGCTCGTCGCCGACCTCCGGCTGCTGGGTGATGGTTTCCACAAACGTCAGGAGCACAATATCTCTCGGGCTGAACCACGCCTCGGGGCTATGTATCCCGATAATTCAGTAGTTGATCTGTTTCGATGATGCTGCCAGCGCGGACTGCTGTGCTCTGGTCACTCCAGCCTTCAAAGCCACGAGCACATGGTGGGTCCATTCGTAGGTCGATTGGAAATTGGCTGTCGTTAGCATGATCACCAGCTCGCCCTCGCGGTCTGCGAGAAATAGGTCTTTAAATTGAACATTTCCTAGAGCGGTCCAGTGGTCGACGATGGTGGCACTGTGGGACAGCAGTTTGGTGATGTTGAGGGTGGGATGGGATTTGGCGTGCGGGGTGTGGTAGTCGGGGTAGGGGAGGCGGGACATCGCTTGTTCTAAGTAATGGGTCGTTTCTTGAACAATATTTCCTTGTTCTCGGTCCGTAGAACGGGGCTTGAGATTAATACAAAGTATTCTGGTGGAATGTTTTGGACTATCTTGGAGTTCCGATACATAGTCCTGCTCGCTGTATGTTCAGCCCAGCGCTGTACGGTGTTACCGAGTGAAGTAGATTGTATAATATCATCATCCTCGGTTCTTCAAAAGTGCAAATCTGTTCAGGTGGCGATTCCTATGATGAATCACACGCGACCCTCCGAAGTCTATGTTTTCATGAAGAATAACGGTGAATGCTCATATACATCTGTATCTCTTGGATCAACAAGGTTGCTGCCGGCCTTGATACAAGGTGTGGACCAAGACTGCGCACTGAAACATTATGCCAAAAATCCAGCCAGGTATTAACAGCTGGCCTGCTGGCCCAATGGTAAGGCGCTTGACTACGAATCAAGAGATTGCAGGTTCGAGCCCTGCGTAGGTCATTTGTTTTTGTCTTTTTCCTTCGCGTGTGGTCAAGCTTGTAGTGTAGACCCTCTCGTTGCGGGACCTTATCTCTGATCCGCACAAAGTGTGCAGCAAGAACAAGGCCATTGCTTGGCGACTACAACCTGGGGCGTCATAACTTGGAGTCACTCCGCAGCCAATCTCTTTTTCTTAACTGCTTTTGTTCTATCTCCTGTCTGTCTGGCCTGGAAGCATGCCAATTCTCAATCTGTGCAACGAGACGATTACAGCATTCGCAGTAGACTGTAGCAAGAGCGAAATGGTTTGTGTAAGACCCGTGACTGATCAACCTTGCATCTTGGTATATATTTACAGGCTTATTCCGTGAAGGGCTCGACAACGGCAACCCACAAACACAATCACAGCGCCGAGAATACCAGAACAAAACCTATACCAGCTAACCTCAATCGGAATATGAACCGATTATAGTCGTTTTCCTGTGGTTTGGTCGGTGTCCTGCTCCCCCGGTATCCGAATTCAAGATGGAAAATTCCCAATACTAAGCCTTATGTTCATATTTGGTACTTCAATACTGATTACTTGAAGGTTACGTGAAGGCTAGCCAATCGCCGATATTTGACTGTCAATACCAGTGTTTTCACTTCATTAAGGACAGGTAGGTGCTATACATGCATCCGAGTTCGCGCAGACGAGGATCACCTAGCTAGCGCCGGAGGGCGGCCCTAGCCCCCGTCGGAGGGCTCACTCACCACCCCAGCTCTGTCGGCGCCGGAGTCGCCGCCGCGGGACCCTCTCCGGGCACCGCCGCCACCCGCAAGAACCCCTGGACGTCCGCGTCCGCGTCCGCGTCCGGCTCCGGCGTGGCGGTCACGGTGATGACCTCGCGATCCAACGGCACCATGGTCACGGGCGGGATATACCAGCTCTCGTCGCACACCGACCAGCCGGGGTCGATCTGCCGGACCTCCTCGGGCAGCAGCACCCACGGCCGATAATCGTCGCGGATGATGGTGCAGCTCGGGTCGTAGAGCGGGCACTGCTGGCCGCCCCGGTACTGCGGCCAGGGGATCAACGACTGCGTGTCGTTGTCGTTGCCCCCTCCTTCCAGGTGGTGGGGCATGAACTCGGCGAAGTTGAAGGGGTAGGCGGTGCCTACGGTGGGGTATTTCGCGTTGCGGTGGTTGCGGACGGAGGACAGGGTGGCCGGGTTGATGGAGAGGATCTCGTTGCTGTGGGAGACGCCGCACTGGGAGCCGGGGTGGGCGCGGCGGTTGCTCCAGGCGTAGATGGAGGTGAAGGAGAGGTAGACGGTCGGGGAGATGAAGGTCTCGCCGTTGACGATGGCGGTGCTGGGCCCGGAGGGAGAAACGGTGGTCCCGTTTTGCTGGCACAGGTCGCCGTCGGCGGTGGTCACGGGCCAGTAGAAGAGGGTGGCTGTGCCGGGGAGGAAGTGGCACGCTGAGCAGGGGTTTTCCTCCGGGTAGGAGCGTGTGGTTGACGGGCACGAGTACGGCGGGATCGGGCTGTTGGTGTCGCCTGGGGGCGCCGCGGTGATGGTCTCGTAGTAGGAGGCTTCCAATTCAGAGTAGGTGGACCATATGGGGATGCATTCGCTAGTCTGCAGGGTGCAGTCTGGGGTTGGGTCCGGGGGATTGCGGTATAGGGTTTCGGTCTCGGTGAAGGTTTGGTACCCCTCGGAGCAGGGACTGCTAGCGTCGGGGAAGTACTCGGTCGCAGTTTCGCGCGGGCCCACCGCACGCGGGATCCCGTCGCAGAGGGTGGTAAGAGGGCCCGTGTGGGTGTTGGACCAGGCTTCGGGGGTCACCGAGGTGCGGCAGGCCCCGGCGCTGGTGGCGTACGATCCGGTGGACTCAATCGTCGCGGTTGGGCCAAGGGAGCGGAGCTCCAAGGAACGACTGGCCCATTCGATCCAAGCCGCATTACAGGTGACTACCGCAGCATTGGGGCCAGTTGTAGGTCCGTAGAAGTAGTCTGTGGATGTAGGCCAGAAGATCGAGGTGTTGAGGGTGATGAGCCATTGGCCGCTGGTGGTGGCTGTTTCAATCAGTCAGCTGTGATTGATACGAGTAACTGGATTAGGGCTAGAGGGCGGGCATACCATCTTGGCCGGCGGCGAGGCCGAACAGCAGCGCTATGAACAGCATCATATACATGATGTATGTACAATACAATTCACCAGTGAGGCGTATCCATTGAGCAGAGACTCAGCACAATTTATACCTGTGCGCGAGGAAGTGAAGAAAAAGAAAGGAGAAGAGCCCCCCTCCAAGGTTGCATAGCATGCACTCTGCAGATACTCTGCGGGGCCACGCGCTTGGCACAGCTGGAGATTGGTCTCTGCGTGAGACAAGCGCAGACCCTGTGTGTCAGGGACAGAGTTTAGAGGACAGGTTCCAGCCAAGGGCAGACCTCAGGTAAGCGGGGACCCCGACGAAACCTGAAGTATTGGCTTGGCGTGCGGGGTCTTTCTGTACCTGAAGTTGTGAGCTCGAGTTACTGACTCAAGCTGATTACTGATCGGTGATCAGACTATCCGGGTGCATGCAGCCTTGCAAACCAACCAGCAGCTGTATCTATCATAGAAAGGTTGGTGATCAACTGAGTATAACAGGGTCCAATCAAGATCTATGCAGGTATGGTGTGGTAGCTGAGATGTTACACCCACTAGCATGATATTACTGGCTTTCAGAAGACTAGCCTTGAAAGCTCAAAGCTGTATTAGATGCATGCTGTTGACTTTTGTCCTGACGCTAAAATCTCACCCTTAACTCAACCGCAGCACCTGGCTTGCCTTAGCCAACCCACGAAATCACTTTGCAATTCATGGATGCCATGGAGACCTGCTCCGGTTCAGGTTTCTAGGGCTGCCTGTGTAGTGCAACCACCTACAGCGTACAATCCGGATCGCAGCTCAAAAGACGTAATTTTGATAGCTTGAGACATATGTGAATCTAATCAGAGTATTCAGCTTGCTTTCTCTGATCTAGCCTGTCCACGGGACACTTCCAACCTCAGCCATCGAACTCTGTGGATAATGCGCAATACGAGATGCATGAGGTAGCATCAGCAGGTACAATTTTTGACCATGTCGCCAGCCAAATAGCCCTTGCTCCGGCCAACTAATGCATCTTTCTGGTGCTTTAGGGATTTAGTTTCCTCGTAGAACGTCTGCTAATGCAGGTGATTAGTGAGCCCACCTCCCATGTCTCAGTCTGCGCGGAATTTGCCGACTCTTAATTTTAATATCCGAGGTGCTTGTCTTGGGAACGCTCTTAGGAACGCCGAAATGGCTGTGAATGGTTCTGCTTTTACATGAAAGATCTAAGTGTAGACTCGTTACTAGTGGGGAGAGGTTTAGAATATGGCCTTGCTTTAAGGGTTCAACGAGGGTGGTTTAAGAGGGACGGCGGGTGCCGATAGTAGATTCCCTCTTGGGTGCTTCTGGCGCCCCAGAAAACCTGCTTGCCCTAGCAGGCTGACGTCGGCTTTCACCCCTCCCCAATCCCAGATCACAAATTAATTATTCTCCCCTGGCCCTAGCTTATCATCATCTGACGGCCATATCACAGACAGTCCACGCTCTTTCCTCAAGGACCAAGTCTCCGTCTTCCATTCCTCAAAGCTAGATAGCCTCTGTTCTCTGACCAGATGACCCATCGTGTCCCCTGGATCGGTAAAATGTAGACGAGCCAACCAAGCAGCAAGGTCGAGCTCGTCAACCAGCTGCCCATCCACAAGCATCCGGATGGTCCCAATATGCTCGTACAAAGGCTGTCCGTACCTTGCAGTGTGATAGCTCATTTTGAGGAGACCTCCTATCTCCATCCTCAAATATTGACAAAGCCACTGGGGACGCGTTTTATACGACGACAACGGCTCCAAACCTGCGCTAGGACTCCTCATGTCTCGACCGCAATGCCACCACCGCCAATGCTTGTATGAAACATCTTCGGGCGGGAAAGAAAGTTCCAGCTCTGCCGACTGGAAGTCCAGGACCAGTGTTTCGATCGCGACCCCTCGATCCTGGAAATCCTCCGTGTCGTCGCGACATCGATGAGCGGAAGACTCGGGTTCAGGCTCCTCGTCTTCGCGCTTCTTCTCCCCCACGGGACCATAGCGGAGGAACCGCTCCAGGGCCGCGTAGAAAGACCAGTGGAAGCCTAGCCGGCCGCCATCGCCCAGTTGGCAGCGCGCGGTGCGCTGCTCGATGATGTGACCGAACAGACGCACGTGCGCGTAGAGGGTCGAGACATGGGTTGTGAGACAGGGCACGGACAGCCACGTCAGGTAGAGCTCCAAGTCATCTTTGACAGAGATATCGAGAGTATAGTCAACTCTCCTGTGCTCGAGGATGTGGAGAGTCTCGGTGGATAATTGGTGATTGGTGAGAAGAAGAGATAGACAGTCTGACGAGCTGGGCTTGTTCCTCTGCGTGTAATACACTCCCGAGGCCCATGCCTTGTAACTCATATCGCGGTATTTGACCGCATCGGATGTACAAGGGGCCACGGGCGGGCTGAGCGGGGTATAGAGCACATGCTCGATAATGAGCTTCCGCAGCTCAACCGGGATGTTGAGGAGCAGAGACATGACTGGGATCAAGTTCTTTGAAGTACCTCCGAAGAAAAAGATGCAGCGCTGCCAGAGATTCAATTCGGCGATATGCTCCCGCTAAGATGGGTAAGTATGTAGTTGATCGCTGCAAAACAGTTGCGTGCAGTGTGCTATGTTGATACCGAAATCACAAGGGAAATAGAAAATATTCATGTCCGCTACCTCACCGCCTTGCATGGTACCAATTTATGAAGTCCAAAATTTGGGGCATACTGCCAAGCCACTACTGTTCACTGTCGGCGGGCTAAAAGTCTCCATTTCTTTAGTTCAAGGAAGTGAGCCTTTCCGTGACTCATGAACTTTAATTCTCCCTTAGAGAACCTTTCTTTCGCTTTCTAAGATGCTTATAAGATAGTCGCGGTAATTTGACGAAGCCGGAGGGCGGAGGCTTTACCTGCTGTCAATAGGTCTCTAGCAGTTGTTATCGACACTCACTGTATGCTTGACACTACACACGTAATTACTGGTAGTATACGCCACGATAGTAGTAAGACTAGCACCCCAATGCTTTAGTCAATCAGCCTCATAAGGAAATCTCCTATTATTAAGACAATCATTGGTACTTCCTCTAAAATGACGCCAACAGTAATTTCTGCAGTCCCGAAGAACCCTAAGAACGCTAAATAAGAGACGTTCTACAATGGTTCTTTGATAGTGCGCTACCATAACTTCGAGTTGAGTTTAGGGCAGATAGAGCTGGACAGCGGGCTCGCCGGCGTTGTCAAGAGACCTCATTGGATTTTCCTAATGCGCGCTAAGCGTGACAAGCAATGTTCCCCTGGAGAGGGTGTCCGTTGTCAAGACATCCTTTTGACCAGGATCGATGGATTCGCTCATACACATAAGATACTCCATCAAGTAAGTCACTAGCTGAGATAGAACCGCACAATCCGCCCATCCCAGGTATGGTAGGAGCTACCACCGTCGTTCCACTCGGAGGCATTCTGCACGCTGTGGCCAGAAGTGATTCCGGCGTTGAAACTCCCATAAGACCAGTAGCACGAGGCTCGGCCGCTCCCGTCGCTCCAGGACCAATAGGTCCGACATCTGACCGAGAAATTCCCTTGCATGTGTAGGTAGCATATGTCGCCATACCCATAGTTACCGGCGGCGCCTGACTTCCAATTTCCTTCCACATCATCCCAGTCGCCCCGCCCGCGGGCGCCTGGTGCCGCAACCTCTTAATCTCCGCGCGGAGCTCGTGCGCGAGATTTTCATGCCGGCCTCGTTGGCTTGAACATCGTCGGCTGAGTTGGAAGCTTCCTGGTCTGAAGAGATGGATGCATGAGCCATGAGCACTCTCCACTTGACCTCCAGAGCTCATATTGGGGACAAAGCGTGCGGTTTTTGGGAGAAAGGCGTACCGTCTTGCTGGGATGCCTTTGCCGAGACCTCCCGTTGCTCTGCAGTCGGCTTAGACGTAAGACCATGTCGCTAGGCTTCTTCCTTGCATCTTTGGAACAGAGCCTGGTGGTTGGCCTTGAGTTCGTCGGCCAATCGGGTGTTACCGTCCTGAACAGCCTGGTTAATGGCTGCTAGACTCTGGCTCACGGCCGCCTGTGCCCCTTGCAGTGACTCGGGCGTATTGTTGGGCTCTATATTCACGCAAGTTAGAGATCACAGGCTTCCAGAAGAGACTTGATACTGCGCTGCATACGACCGTGTGGAGCAGGTGCAATAGTCATTTTGATGGATAGCCGACGAAAGCTTGACTTCTTTGAGAACAGAAGACTGAGACTAGATGCGGTGTTGGAATGAATGATGGGCGAGCACAGTAGCTTGCCGTGGTATTTATACTCACGAAGACACGTACTTATTCATAGGCACTCAGTCACAGGGGCTACCAGCCTGGGAGTCTCGATCAATCCCATGGACCGGACCAGCCCCACCAAGTTAAGTTCTGGACCGCTGCGCCTTAGCCACAGCTGAAGGCCGTTCTTGCGCTTGCTTTTCCTCAGGCAGCCGCCGAAGACAACCCCCGAACACGCGGCACCACAGAGCCATGACTACAATGCAAACCAGGCTCTCGCTTGTGAGGCAGGCATAGTGCCCAAGACTGATTTAAGACCGGTTGAACTCATTCGGCTGAAGTCTTAAAGTCTGCTGTTCAGTGAGCCAGCCACACACGGGTGGGCATCCACAAACACCTCGAATCACCTGACTAGATTCGGCGATAGCCGTGCCCTACATCGTACCAGGTGGGGTGGGTGTGCATGATGCACGATGCCCACCACCTCCAGTCAAGCTCTATGATATGTCGAGGAGGGCTCGTGTGGCTGACTTGGCATGTCAATAGTCGCACCTCTTGATCATGCACATCCCCGCAAAGGAACAGCAATTTGCGGTACCGAGTCACTGGCTGAAGCATCCGAGCTTTCCGCAAGCATTAGGAGTTTCAGTGGGTCTATCATCCCCGCGTCGGGGTTTCATTCATATACATGACTACATAGACAAACCCAGCCCCAAAGCAAGCAAATAAGTGTTGTCTCATCGACGGCGTGTATCGAGTTGATACCTCGACCGCTAGCCAGCTGCAGCAACAACCCTTCCAATGACCATTTTTCCTTTAACTTTCTGTGATGATATGGTCTACAGTCGCAGAACCCAATATTTATGTTTAGATTACCCTCAAATTGAGAGCCAGCAGCTCGTGTCGCCCTGAAAGCTGGGCGCAATTGAGTCTTGTCGTGACCCGCGCGCAATCGCAACCGCCTGTCAGCGTCGAAGTCTCTTTCAGGGAAAAGAAACTCGCTCCGGTCCTGAAGAGAATATAGGAAGAAGTGGAGCAGTGGCTGATCGACTATCGAATTTTGTCTCCGCAAAATGGAGCGAATAAGAATCACTCTGTGGCCGGCGCACCGCGATAGGACAGCGCCAAGAGGATGTGGGACCTGCAGCCAGTCCGGAGGTTGGCGGAGTGACTGTGGCAGTGCGGCTGGAGCTTGAGCATCCTCCTCTATTGAAGTCATTTAGAATACAAGAGCACCTAGCTTATTCATCTGCAGGTAGTCAACCGCTAACTAGTTAACTAAGTTATCGAAGCGAAGGACGGTTGACTCAGCAGCACCTCTCCCTGCATGGTCTGTGGCCTCAGGCCGCCAAGGCAGGAGTCCGTAGGCTATGAAGTCGTAGCCATATGCTAGGAGTCCAGGATCAAAACTGGGGCTTGTCTATCGTTACTTCCATTTTTCATGATCCTGTCAGATACTAGAGCTCCCGTGGTCGGGTTCGGACCGGCCCGCGGGACCCTGCAGGGTGATCCAGACCTCCGGCACCCGTCTGGACAAGGTATGAGGTTAGGCACTCCGAGGCAGACCAGCGACCAGCGGGTTTGTGAAATTTTCCGCAGCTGGAACTGTAAAGCTTCCCCGAGAGAAGTAGATTCGAGTCTTCCGGAGAAATTAGGTCGTCAGAGAGCGCCTATCGGATATAGTCAGCTTCATCGGGGGCTCTGAACCTATGATCCCCGGTCCGATCAAGGCCTCCGTGGTTGCTGCTGCCCTACACGCGAGGTGCGGTCTGGCCGCCAACGAACTGCTTGAGCTGCGCGACGAAAGACCCGTCCACGAGAGCACGGTGGCGGTCGACACGGACCATGCGGGCCTGTGTCTCGGCTCGACGTTCACCACCTACATCAACGCAGAGGATGTCTCCACGCTGGATCGGTCGAATGCGCTGGCTTCACTCTTCGAACTCTTCGATCGGGATTTCGAGCAAGGGTTTGGAAAGGGTTGGCTGGCCGAGCGACAGCGATCTACCAGACCAAGGATCCCAACGTCTGGTATCAACTCCATGGCTCCCTCGATGCCACTCGTCCCCTGCAGTCGATGAGATCCCCACGGACGTCAAGTTTGACACCATGCAGGAGTACCACGAGCTTTGAATAGCATGAGATCTTTCACCTCCGTCTTCCATCCCTACCGGTACTCAAGAGACCGACTGTAAGGCCGTATTGGTGACCTCATCCCGCGGAGTACGGGTGCTTGTAGGGTCTACTTCAACTCATCGGTGGAACTGCACAGATCCTCGCTGCGTGGATCGAGTCGTGGTTTCTTGGCTCGGAATGATTGCTGTAACCTTCCTTCCAGTGATTCGACGCGTTTCTCGATGTCACGCATGTCGCTGTCACCAGAAAGAATAAGAAGCAGGGGTCCATGACCTTCCAACCATTAGAAAGACTTACCAATGGGTTTTCTGCCGCCGTGCTCGGGCTTCATACTTGCAAGGTAGATTGAATGGTTTGCATGAGGCACACAGGCCGATTGCCATCACATCTAAGCTTTTTCCTCCTGCAGATGCTGCATGCCTATTGAGTTGCGACAACATTAGCATCGTCTGTCGCGCTGAGGTAAGGTCATTGGCACCTTAGCCAGGCGTATCGAGCCGTTAGAGCCAATATTCCTACTCATGTTGCCCAAGGGTTGCCTGCTTCTTCCTCTCTGCAACTAGAGTGTTTTGCGGATTGCTCCAACGCCTGTAGTCCCCATCAGGTGATCAGGTGTCTGGGGATCCCTAGTGTCAAATGTGTCACTGGAGTGGAATCTAGGCTCACTATCCTTGGTATCTCAGATTATATCTCTTATAATGAACTAGATCCTGAAACATGCCGCGACGACCGCAATTTGAGGACATCTCTCACGTCGGAAGTGTACGGACGCCCTAGTAATTTACTTTACAATTCTTTATATAGATTTCGAAAAAGGATTACATTCATAGCACAAAGGGCTTGGAGATGCACAGTGTATGAGGCATCCAAAATTGAGCGGTTTGTATATTTTGCCCTCGAGATGACGACCCACGAAGAACACAGTTTCTCTAGGAATGGAAACTGGTAAGCAAACTGAGATGAGTACCAGTAGAGTTCTAGTTGACGGTGACCGTGTTACAAACCAAGCTGAAGCCGTCACTCGCACCGCATCCTTCGACTGGGTCTTACCGCGTTTCAGAAAGACCCGCGCAGAGATAATTTCACTTGGAGACAGGGGTAAACTCAGTAGCGCAATCATTCGATCGGCATGTCTACATCGTATGGAAGGGAAGTGGGAGTGCTTGATTCCAGCCCAACCTCCCCCTGGGTCCTGATATATCGACGTTTGCCAAGCAACAATCGATCAAACTAATTATAGTTGGGCGAGAAGTTGGGCGGCCCCGGTTCAACCCTGGCAAGAGCGAGCATCAAGACGAAAAGTTGGTACATTGATCTCAGAGCTATGCGATCGGCTCGAACTATTTTCAACCATAATAACAGAACACCATATCCCTATGCTAAAAGTGACCTTAAATGATGACTCAGGCACCCTATCGAGACGGATATTCATTAGCTTTCAGTCCAGTGTGTGTAGAATCAGTAAGGTAAACGGCTTAACCCACCAAGAATCTCAAGCGTCCATCCTCGTTGGCGATTTTGTCGGACAGCATGATGCCCTGAAGACCCCGGGAGCCACCATCGCGGGTGAGTAGGTTGGCGACGAGCTTGGGGCCGTACTCGGTCATTTCGAGGCGGACATCGCTCGCGGATTCGGTGAAGTTCTCACCGCCCCAAATGAACCAGCCTGATTGATTCGATGACATGTTAGCATATGACCGACAAGAATAAGGGGAGTAGTGTAGGCCTACCATCCGTGTTGCCAATGTGCTGGTCGAGACGAATCTTGCGGGGGTGGAATTCGCCGTGTCTGTCGCGGGCAACGCAGCACAGCATGGTGCTGCCATCCTCGTGGACGATGTGGATGTCCTGGCAGGAAGTGTGGAAAGACATGATGGATATGAGATGGGTTGTAGAGGAGTTGAGTGAAGTGATGGAGGAAGACGGTGTGAAGATGAAGGTGTGTTGTGGGAGGGAAAAAGGAGGAGGGGTGGGATGTGGGGTTGTTGTTTATATACGTAGCTCCGTAGCTCCGTAGCTCTTCCCCTTCATCACCGCCCGCATTGCTGCCCTACCCACCAAGCCTCGGGATAGACGTCGGCCAAGACGCGAAGTGGCAGACTTGCCTCATAGTGGCTGTACGGATGCGAGTCAAGTGGGGCAGAGGGGTGTCTATCGCTTCGCCTCGCCTCACAGGCGCACGGCAGATAGGGAGCTGTGGGGGAGAGAGGAGCTGCCTGCTTACGGATGGAGCTTGATGCAGAACTCAGAGGGCTTGATTGTGGCTACTACCGCCACTCACATAGCTGCTGCGAGTTGGCAGCTGCAGCCGCACACGTATGGCCGGCTAGTAAATGAATTTAGTGGGATCGTATTCTAGAAGGTCTCTTGTTGATCACCGCAAGGGTAGGAAAGCACGGCGGGGAGGAGGTGGGGTAACGGGACTTTGATTCACCCATCATTGGTGCCATAGCCTAGACTATCGATTATCATTCTTGAGGAAAAGTTTCAGATTCGAACCCTGTCTCCATCTTAATGTCTTGGCGTGGTGAGCTGGCATCACCGTCAACTGCTAAATTTAGCATCGCAGACCACCAGCCACATCAGCCACATCAGCCACAATCGTTGCCTGATCGTGGCGCCACTTGTTCTTTGAGAAGAACAAGAGATGGCGCATAGCCCGGTGGAAGCTACATTACTGACTTAGCATGTACAAAGGTGTTTCACTACCACTTGGTAACTGTACACATCCTAATAACCTTATTTATCGGTAAAACAGCAGATTACAGGACAAGTTATAAGGAACATGGTCACGTGATGGTGGTAGAAATGTGTAACATATATGTATAAGGCGGTGTGTATCACACAGCGTACGTGGTTTCTGTATTGTGTATACTTTACTAGCGCCCCCAAAGCCTTTTGAAACATACAAGTAAGTAAGACTCATGTTGTTCAGCCCAGACCTAGAATGCTAATGCTTGTATATGCCTTGAAATAAAGATATCACAACTGTAGACTGATGGATAATTGACTCTTGTATGCCTAGTAATCTGTATATTAGCAGTCAGGCATAGTTAGTCTATATTACTACTCAGTTATTTCAAATGACCAACTGGGTTCCCAGAATCTGTATCCCAGACAAAACGTTTTGCTTGTAGCCAAGTGTAGCCAGGTGTTATCTGAACCTCCTTTTCCTCCATTATATACAAATATAAAGAATTGACATCAGACCCCAACACCTGCAGTAGCTTGTCTATATAGCCTCAAAAATCAGGGATTTATCAGAGGTCACCGGCGTTCACTACCTCGACCTCTCGGGCTCTTCTGACAACACAACTGCCGTTGTACAGTAACTTAAATCGCTAATCCGGAACAGTTCCGCTAGCTCTTCTAAGCATTGCTCATCTCCGCCATTTCTTGTGTATCTTGAGATGATTGATTGCGACTACAAGTTAAGCGCTGAAGGAACCTGCTTACCAAGCCTGCAGCTCGCAAACGCAATCGCACCATCAAACGCGGGGTAACGCCATCCGTTGTGATACGCCAGCAAAGCACCCTCAGCCCCTCATCGGCCTTTCATAAATTCACCCAACACCTCAGTATTCCACACCGTCTATCACTCCTGATCATCCCACATAGCATAACTCTTCGTATAGCACAATGTCTTCTCCCAAAGTAGCCATTGCCGGTGTATGTCCTCTTAACACCCGGAAACCCCACCTCAGACACCATACAGCTAACAACAGAACAACCGCAGGCAAGCGGCAATCTTGGGCCCAGCATCGTGCAGGCACTCATTGACGCCGGAATCGAAGTCACAGTCCTCACGCGCCAGGACAGCAACAAGACCATCGACAACAACCAAGTCAAAGTCATCCCCGTCGACTACGACTCGCGCGAATCCCTGCAGACAGCCCTGCAGGGACAGGACGTCGTGGTCGACTCCCGGGCCATCCTCCCCAGCGAGTCGACCATCCGGCTGATCGACGCGGCGATCGCGGCGGGCGTCACCCGCTTCATCCCCTCCGAGTTCGGCACGGACACGCTCAACCCGCTCAACGAAGCCCTACCCGTCTTCGCCAACAAGGTCGCCTCGCGCAAGTACCTCGAGCAGGTCGCCCGGACCTCCCCGCTGAGCTACAGTCTGCTGTTCACGGGCCCGTTCCTGGATCTGGGCCTGCGCTCCGGGTTCCTGGTGAATCTCGCGGGCCCGGTCGCGGAGCTCTACGACGGCGGGGACCAGAAGGTCAGCGGCACCACGTTGCTGGGCATCGGGCGGGCGGTCGTCGGGATTGTGAAGAATCTCGAGGCCACGAAGAATGCGGCGTTGTATGTGAGCGAGGCGGACGTCACGCAGAAGCAGTTGATCGCGCTCTCCGGGAAGACGCTGGAGACCAAGGTCGTCGCTACCGAGGAGCTGGAGCGGATTGGACGCGCGGAGTTGACCAAGCCTCAGCCTCATCCTGGCATCGTGGCGGTCAATTTGATCCGTCGGTCCCTGTTTGGAGAGGGGTATGGGAGTTTATTTGACGAGCAGAAGCTCGCGAATGAGTTGCTGGGGTTGAGGAGGTTGACGGAGGAGGAGCTACGGGAGTTGGTGGCTAGTGTTTGATATGAGTGATCATAATGATTTCATGTTGTTATTAGGTCTGTTGGAAGTACACAGCATGTTGCTTGAAGGCTGTCTTGTGAGGGAGCTATGTGTATTCTGCGGCCCTAAGGACAGGGTTGTGGGGTAGTGAGTTCTAAGATACCATCCCCTCGTGTCCTCAGTGCAATGCCATTGCCGTCAAGTGTCTAGGATAGCATGAGCTAACTCATCGAGATAGAAATGGCAGTGCCCCATCAATGAAAGTATCATCCATGGCCAAAACCACCCTCAGGAGGCCTTGGGGTCCCGGATACTGGGCTGGTAACTGGACTGGATGTGGGTGTAGCGGCTTCGCGTGATGCCGTTCTTCAAACCGGGTTCCATGGGACTTCTTGCCCTGCTAACAATGGTGCTTCGCGGAAACAATGGTGCTTTGCGAAAATCTACCTCAAGAGAACAATGTGACTCTGATGGAAAATAGGGAACAGAGAAGTTTCTGCTGTGCTTTGTACTACCCCTTCGGAATACAACATACTGATTTGACCTGGAAAAAAGCACTAGAAACGATGATACAGAAAAGGCCCATTCCGGAGGGTCAGAATAGAGCGACTCTAGACCCCTATCGAGAAGTATATATAGGTCATCAAACTACGACGAGGGAGTGATTCTGACATAACACACACGAGTCTTGTTCAATCTTGATTGATACGGACACGCTCAAACACACACACACACACACACACACACACACACACAAACACTAAAAAGCTAATCGACAAGATGTCTGTTCCAACCCACATTAGCCAGTACGCTCAGTACAAGCAGGACACCAACGACGTTGCCGCATGGCTACTGACCGCCCACCCGGACTTCAAGGGGCCCAAGGGACCCGGCCGATTGAAGGGCAAGGCGCGCAGGGCTGCCAGGGAGGAGGCAGAGGCAGGTAACGCAGCACCTCCCCAAGACTCACAAGAATACACTCTAACCTTGAACGAGTTCGTAGAGCGGGCGACGGCAATTGTCGCCAGCCGACACGTCAAGGAGGTGCCGCGGCTGGTGGCTATCAAACTGCGGCGTTCAATCGTGCGCCGCCGGTACCAGCTGCGGCACTATGAGCACGGCGGCGGCGACGCCGACTCAAACGCCAGCCACGCACATTTTATCGGCGTGCTGGAGGACGTCGAGAAAGTCCTCAGACCCATCTTGCCCAAAGAGTTCCGGTCAAAGGCGGGTCAAGCAGCGGAAGAGGATGATATCGACGCCGTAGCGGCGGCGCTGGTGAACCGCTTCGAGGCTTTGACGGTCGAAGATGTCGCGGACGAGACTCCGGACCGCCACGCAGCGGCTGGCACCTCTCAAGCTCCGCCAATCGTTGCGGTGAACTGCAAGATTGCGGAGGAGGAGGCGATTACCCCGTCTCCCATATATGCGCTGGAGATGTTGCTGGAGGACCTGTTCTTGGTGACGCATCACGTGCAGGAATCGTGGCAGGGGTATCGGGAGGGACGGATGACACTCGAGGCCGCAACACTGGCGACTGAGATGGCTCACCACCTCTTCTTCGACACTGAGCAAGAGCTCTGGGTAGCTGGTGGCGTTGAGAATTGCCCAGACGGTTGGGTAAATGCGCTGTACCAGATCTGCGAGGTGCGCCAGAAGGCGCAAGGAAAAGGAGAAACCCAGGGCGATAACTCAGGGTTTCCACACTTCCTCCAAGACCTTATCTACATCTTGGAGTCGCTCTCGGCTGCTTTGTATGCTAGGCAAGGCAAGGCTCTTTCGGACCTTCTTCGCGTCCCGGTACCAACCTATGACTGGGACTCAGACAACCGGCGCCTGCTCCTGCAGTTGCTCCTCGACGAGGCGTTAGTCCAGAATCAGGTATTCTTGGCTACCCCTAAGGCACACTCACTGCCAGATGCGGACTTGTGTGGGATGTATCTGTGCCACGCGTTTAGGACTGGGACCCCTTCGTTGACAGCGCTTTATCTGATCATGTTCTACGTCAAGATGCGACTGACCATGGGTTCGGAGAGTGGCAAGGCATGGCCTGAGCTGCGTGACTTCATGGAGGCCACGAGGCCGCAAATGAGTCAAGCCCGTCAGCGGTACTCGTATCTCGAAAATGTAGATGAGGCACTCCGCAAAATACTGTATGGTCACACATATTGGCTGCTACAGGCGGAAATTGTGTTAGACGACGACGGCGCGGACTCCCCTCCCACATCTGCCCGGCTCAACTCGCGTGACTGCGTTCCCTCGCATCGCCGCATCTCTTGGTTCCGCTCAAATCCCTGGCTGTGCGGACGGCTGTTGATGATCTACAAGATCATCGCCTACTGTGATGGGTTGTACTGGTCCAATTCCGCGCCAGCTCCACTCGCATTATGCCATCTTTACCACGCAGCAAAGCGGGAAAAGCTGCTGCCGGATGGATGGTTGTGGCCCGGGTTGGAGCGTTTGATAAGCCGCCACCCGGACATGTTCTGCGGCCAACAACGGCCGAAGACCTGGTACAGCTATTCCAACTCGCTGGCCCGGGCCCTAGGCGGAGTCGAGTCTGAAAGAACAGACTCTAGAGGAGGCGCGAGAAGAGGCGCCAGACGAAACGCCCGAAGAGGCATCGCGGGAGAGATGGAAGATGTCGATCTGGCCAAGCGATGGGAATTCCCGCTGCTCATTACCACACTTCGGGAAGTCCAAATCCGCTGGCTAGGACGAAAGCACAAGTGGACCGCGGACGAGATCACGCGCGTTATGCGTGAATCTCGGCTGTGCCAAAAGTTTGTGAAGTCCACCATCCGCCACGGGGCCGAGCCAAAGCTGACTATGGTTGACGCCTTGAGACGCCTGCGAAAGTGCGTCAATGCGGAAATCGCCGTCCTAAATGAGGATGCCTGGCTGCAATATCACAATTCCTCGATCGAGATTTGCACCAGGATCTGGACGGAGTTTCCAGCGGTACGCAAGGAGTCAGAGCGAGTTGGTCACACGGACGAGGTTGTCTACATGATTGTGCATACGCTCTTGTCAACCCATGATCGGGACTTGGTCAAGAAAGCGGCTAGAATCATGCAATCTGTTGTTTCGGGAATATGAGCCTCCTAGAAAAAAAAAAGAGAAAAAGAAGAAAAAGCAAAAACAGAAGAAAATAAAAGAAAACAAGAAAAAATAAAACAAAAGAGATAATATCTCAGATATACAAAATTCACATTCCATCACTCCACAACCCACTAGATACTATTACTTTACTATATTATAGATCTCATCTCTTCAGCTAATACATGGAAAGCAACATCATAGCTCCAATGACCATGACAGCAGTCAGGAGCGGTAGCCTTCAGGCTGATTATGATTGAAACTCTCTCACATGCACTCGTCGACTGACTCTGACTCGACTCTGGGCCGTTCTTCGGATGTTGATTGTAGCAAGATTAGGTGCGAGACTTGTAGCAGCATTGCGTCTGACCAAGACATCTACCTTTTATCAATCCAACACAGTTTGGCCATCTCACCCAGTATCCTGGGGTTTGACAAAGCCTCGGGGTTAGCGTCTCACATGGTAGTTCTGATGAGAGCGTTGCACCGCACGGCCAAAAGGATTGTCAAGATATCGATCGAGTAGATGGTTCTGCTCTACAGGATTCTGATTCCTGTCAGGTTCTTTCTAGAGTAGACTTTTTCTTGCATGCTCCCATTCGAAAGCACCTTGGTCGGTCTAGACCTGGATACTCCTGAGAAAGCTCCGGATGAAGAAAATGCAAACACTGAAGACTGCTTACATTGATTCTGCTACGATGGCCCGGAATTCTCGTACAGGTACCCCACAATAGTGACCCCCCTAAGGCAGCTGAATGACAGCAAAACCAAATACTTGGAAATTGTTAGAATTTACCATCTTGAAATCAATAACTTTTGCTCACAGACTTGATTCTCAAATTATGATTTGTATACCTAAGTATCGCTATTGATTAATCACCAAGTGAACTTGTTGTCAACTTGTAATCTAGCTGGCCGAGGAGTATATTTCCTGGTTGTTAGAGTAGGTTACATACCAGGACAGTATATTTCGCGTGTGTATAGCCTAACAAAAGATCAAAAAGAAGCTCCTACAGTCTAGGCAGATTTTCACGCTCCTTGATATTGTGAAAGCAAATCGTGACCAGGGCTATCCTACGCTAGGGCAGAGGCTGCATCAGGATTTTGGACGGCTGCAGTGGCACGACAAAGGTGTTGTGAATAACGGCTGTCTACTAACATGATTGACACGATAAATCTTCTCACTGGTCTCCACTGAAGGGCCATCGAGAACCCTCGACAGCTACACAAGAAGCATGGACGCAGAAGGTTTCGTCGACCATCATGCAATCACCCACTCCAAAACCAGCTTTCGGCGATACCAACGACCGCACCTACTTTCCGATCATTGAATAAATCACCTTTATATCAGCTTATCCCTTGACCCGGACGAATCATATCACATCTTTGCTTCATGTCAAAAGCACTCCCCTCTTCCACCGCTGATTGCCCCTGGACCTAGCTCCCGCAAGGAATGTCGGGATGTATCCGCTCGTCAAAGGAGGCGAGGACCCCGGGTTTCCACAAGATAACAGGTCAGCTTATACTCGCATAGATCAAGTTGCATGAGGTCATGCTCCAGCACTAAGCTGGCGGACTGAACTGTCCAAAAGGTCTTAACAACCCTGTTTCCCATCCACCCGTCTTTCAAACCGCAGCCTTGTATCTTCATATTCTTATCTCAAATCCAGCTCTCGCACTCGCTACCCGATCATCAAAATGTATTCGTCGGCCAAAAGTCTCCAGCTTGCTCAGAGAATCTTCGTAATTGCCCCGGCCTTTATACTCTACGGATACAACCAGGCTGGGCTCTCTGCCCTCCTCACCCTCTCGGATGTGATCCGTCTCTTCCCACAAATCGACACGGTCAACACCCACGGAGCTCAAGAGGCACAGAAATCCACCATCAAAGGGCTGATCAATGGGACTTTGATGTTAGGGGCCCTACTGGGGGCATTGTCATGCTCCATTATCGGCGATAAGCTCGGTCGACGCAAGACTATCTTCGTTGGAGGCTGCTGTGCTGCGGTAGGTCAAATTCTCCAGTGCACGGCCTTCTCCTTGGCCCAGTTCACCGTGGGACGCATCATCCTGGGATTCGGGGTGGGCCAGTTGAGTGTCATTGTGCCAGTGTGGCAGGCTGAAAGTTCTTCTGCGGGGAAACGGGGGCGTCAAGTCATCACTTCAGGTATCTTCATCTGTGTGGGATTTTTCTTGTCCAGCTGGATCAATCTGGGATGTAGCAAGATTGCCTCACCCCCCCTCCAGTGGCGGATCCCGCTCGCTATCCCAGTCATCTTCTCACTAGTGATCTGTTTCTCTATCTTCACCTTGCCGGAATCGCCCCGCTGGCTGGTCCAGCGCGGACGGATCTCAGCCGCCACCGAAGCCCTCGCCGCGCTCAATGACATGCCCAGCGACCATGACCTGATTCGCCGCGAAGTCTCTCGGATTGACGCTTCCCTCTCGACAGGGCCTACAATCTCCTTGCGGGATGTCTTCCGGAAGAACGACCCGCACCGACTCGGCTACCGCTTCGCCCTGTGCCTGGGTATCCAGACCCTACAGCAGCTGGTGGGCGGCAACATGATCTCGATCTACACAACCACCATTTTCCAAGACAACCTGCACCTACAGGGCGACACTCCGGCCATTGTCGCTGCGAGTGCCCTGACCTGGAAGTTCTTGTGCTCTTTCCTCTCCTTCGCCGCCGTCGACCGGCTGGGTCGCCGCTGGATCCTGGTGACTAGCGGGACAGGCATGTGTCTCTGCATGATCGCCATGGCGGTGGCCACCAGCTTCCCGGCTTCCAACCATGCTGCCTCGGTTACGGCGGCTGTCTTCATCTTCCTCTTCAACATGGCGTATCCCATTGGGTTCCTGGGCGGCAACTTCCTCTACTGTACGGAGATAGCGCCCGCGCCCCTGCGTGCAGTCATGTCGTCCGTCTCGACCGCCAACCATTGGATGTGGAACTTCATCATCACGATGGTCACCCCCGTGGCGCTGACCACGATTGGCTGGCGGTACTACATTGTGTTTGCCTGCACCTGTGCATGCGTGCCTGTGGTCGTGCTGCTCTTCTTCCCTGAGACGATGAACCGCGACCTGGAGCTGATCGACGGGGTGTTCCGGGAGGCGCCTACCATCTGGGAGATCGTGCCCATGGCCCGACGGTTACCTCAGCAAAGTAGTCCATCGGCGCAGGTGGATGATGATCGAGAGAAGGCGGTTGAGGCAGAGGGGACGACTGAGGAGCAGCGGGAATTTGCTTGAGGTCTACAATCCCATAAGATGTAGATAGTCTGCCCGGTTGGGTTATAGCAAAAGAAGCTCGTGCGAGCTCATCGCGTCAACAGAGTGAATCTAACGATACTATTTCTTGGATGATCGTCACAAAACTCTATATCACTATCTATCCAACCTTCCACGTATGCATATATACACTATCACCATCAAAAGTCCTACTTCTCCCCCTCGTCATTCCCTGCCAAAACCCCCTGCCAAAACCACTCCACCACCAAAACCGTACCCGTCTCGCTCTCAACCAGGAACAACGTCTTTCCCTCGGGTCCCCCGAACGTCAAATTCGTCATCTTCTTCCCTGCGCCCGCATCCCACCGAATCCGCCAGCCCACCTCCCCATCCGGCCGATGCACAAACACCACCCCTAATGTGGAATGTACGACAAAGATATTCCCCACTACATCCATTGCCATCCCATCCGGCCCGCCAATCCCATAGTAGCTGGCGAACCGGCCCACGCGCTGCACGCTCCCATCCGGATGGAACGGGACGTACCAAACCCCGTTGTCGCGGGTCATGGCGACGAAGACGGCGGATTCATCGCGGCTCATCACCAGTCCGTTGGGGGAGGGGCCGTTGCCCAGCACACACTCTAGCTTGACATGCTGCTGGTTTGCGCTGTGATTGTGATTGTCTGGGGGAAGATCGAACCGAAACACCCGACCCGTCGGATCATGCAAGCCCGTCATGCCTTGGTCGGTAAAATAGACCGTGCCGGTGGAGGTGACCACCAGATCGTTGGGGCCCTTGAGCCTTTCGCCGTGACAGCGCGTGACCAGTGGCATTGGAGGGTCATTTGGGTCGGGATGTGCGGTCGGGTCGAAGGCGAGGATGCCTTGCTTGAAGTCGGCGATGAGGATGCGGTTCGTTGGATGGTGGTAGGCCAGGCCGTTGGGCTCGCCGTCGTAGGCGAGGACGAGTTTCCATTCCCGGGTTTCGGCGTTGATCGAGAAGATCCGGCCGTAGGGGATGTCGACGACGAACAAGCGACCCAGCGAGGGGATGTAGAGGGGCCCTTCGAGGAAGGAGTCGAGCGGGTGGCCGCGCTTTTGGTGCAGACTATGCTCGGATTGCCCGCCGGGGCGGCGGTATTGCGAGGGCAGGCTCGTCCATTCGGTGGCCTGAATGGTGGTTGGTATGGTGAATTGGAGTTGGAGAGACATGGCCGTGGTTGTGTTGATGTTTAGTAGCAACGCTAGTCAAATGATGCGCTCTCCTGAAGAGAGTTATTTCTGTACTGTTTTTCTCTGTTCTTCTAGCTCTATCCTATTTCTTGGGGTACGCCCGCAGTGCAACGGGTCGTATCCGTGTCTCGTGATACGCATCTGCCCTATACCCGAGGGTGGACGGAGCATATCCGCATGGGTCAACGACCTTGACGGATGATTTCCGATTCGACATGTGTTCATTAAAATCATCATGCTCTCACCATCAAGGCAATCAGAAAGCCATACTTTAACCCCTCTCTCCTCTTAACCTTCCCTGGCCTTGATCAACAGCCGCCCCGCCAGAAGTAGATTGGGACGCTGGTTCATTGATCAGCCAAGGTCATGGTTCGCTCTATGTGAGCACTTTTGGCATGGATGTCTCGAGTTTGATGTTAAGTATTCTGAGAAAGTCTGTGTACGTTGTACTGTATAAGTACTCTGTCGTATTGCATGAGTCAAGAACTAAGAAAGGGACTGTACTGCACTCCCCACTATAGCTACAGTGACAACCTTCAACAATGTTGTCAGCAGGTGAATAAATGAGCTATCCCAAATAGGTTAGAGGGAACCGGAGCGGGGAGCAAATCCAATGACGACGTCATCGACCCATTTCCGTCTTTCCTCACTTTCTTCTTTCTCTCTGGCGCCCTACTGCGACTGAGTATCTTCCTTTCCCTTCCATTATTTGATGTGTCCAAGGACTGTGGCTCCTCCTGTCGATCACCAATGGTCTGATTGCTGGGGACAGTTTATTTAAGCCCCATGTAAGCGCCGCCCGTCGCTCTTGAGCCGCGACCCGCATTCCGGCTTTCAGATTCCCCGACCGCCATGAGCCACCACACAAGCGATATATTGCAGCATACTTGCTGAGCTACGGCAAGAAACTCATATCCTACATCCTCCTATCCATACATACATACATTTGCAATGTCTTTTATCTTTGGACGACGACATTCCATCGCCTCCACCGCGCCGAACGAGGGAGATGCAGTCCCGCGGGGCAACGGTGGGCGAAGATCATCGGCTCCGGATATCTCGGATCATAGCCACGGTCTCCGTGCCAAAGGCGTGCTCCATGAGATCTTCCACAAACACCACGGCTCTTCCAATTCTGATTCCCCGTCGAACCCTGGATCCCCGCGTCGGGTAAGGTTCTAGCTCGAATGTGCTCTAGCTGAGTTTGATACGATCAGCGTGATTAACACTGCTGTAGACAGATAGTCCACCATCACAGACGTCGGAAAATGCCCCTGCAAGCTCTCACACCCGCCATGACAGTGGGGTACACGAGTCTTCGGCCGAAAACCCCCCAAACCCAGATCACAAGCCTGGCCATTCGCCGAAACCAGGCCACCATGCGCCATCGCCGCATAAACACCATCTGACGATGAAGGATGTGGAGGTCATCTTCTCGGGAGCCCCGTATTTCATGCTGGAGAAAGGAAAGCATGACCGCTGGTTCCCACAGGTCATATTTCCATTCGACGATCACGACCCGGTCATTCAATGCTTCTGGGATAGGAGGCCTCTCCCCCATGCCTCATACACCTTATGCACTTTGCATGCGCACCTTCCGGTACCGGATGACTGGGTCATTGAGGGCGATGTCCCGGCCCATCTGGGTAACTGGAAACGAAGCGATGCGCCCAAGCGAGCCACATTCGACGTGGGAGTACAGGAAATTCCCAATATGCTGGCGATGCATGGGCGGGATCCAGGGACGGTCGGGTTCCGCTATTTCCTGGAGCTTCCCGTGGCCGACGCGACCCGCTATCCAGGCCTCGGGGTACCAAGGCCTTCGCCAGACTACTTACATTTATCGAGCCTGCCAGCAACCGAGTCGTTCGAGTTGTTGGAGCGTTACGGCCAACCATACGCCCTTTGTTCGGATGGTACTGTCCACGATCGCAAGAAACTGTTGCGCGAGGGGCCGAACTTTTGGAAGAAAATTGGTGTCCGTGACATTGATCTACGGGTCTTGGTGCAGCGATTGCAGACACTGAAGCATCTGCGCTACGAGATCCTCCATGGGGATCGACCGAAGACGATACTTGACATCGAAGGGACACGTGAGCTCTATAATGAACTGTTCACTAAATTCCTCTACCCGCCAGTGCGTTTTCTGATTGCCGACATGGGCGATCCGCACAGCCTAAAGGTCCAGATCAAGGCTTTGACTGTCGTGCTGGCCACCCCCGGGGCATGGCTGGACTTCAGTCTCATCGACTGGCGTCTGCACATTGGCCAGCTGCTCTGGGAGCAGTCACCGCACATGGACGGCGACTTCATCGACATTTCGGTGTCGGATAAGCCATGGGTGCATACGACTCTCGAGCGCAAGTGGTTTCTGGTCCAGATGCTGCTTGCTGCCGAGCTTCTGCTGCGTTTGGACGCGACTGTCCGCGTCGGGATGCTCCAAGAATCGCAGGACATCAGCATCTCGCTACGCGATATCTATGAGTTCGACCGGTTGCGAAACGGTAAGCTGAACTGGGATCTGGTCGTCGTACGGCGATTCATGGACCGCTTCGATCTTGATTATCAGCTCGAGCCTGGCAGCCCCGGTCCAGAAAGCCACGAGGAAGTCGGTCATTCACACGAAAAACATCATCATCGGTCTTTCTTCTCGAGCATCACTCACCATTCGTCTTCAGCCACCCCTCACAATGAGTCGGCGTGGAGATGTCATTTGCTGCCCAATCATGTGATGCAGCAACTCAAAGGGCTTTTTGTCTTCGCCGACAACCTAGGCTGGCCGCGCTTGGACGATTTCAAGGAAACCCTTAGGTCAAAGATTGGTGGAGACCAAGATGGCCAAATCATCAAGGACGTCTTTACCAACCCAGAGCTTAATACTCTCCCAGCAGGGTACCAGATACCCGATTTGCGGAAAGCCATGTATAGCAGAAACTCTTCTCGGCGTCTCTTGCTTCTACACCATAAGGGTGATGACAGCAATCGTAATCATCTTGGCGGTTGGGCCACCAGAAGCTGGCTGTCGGGTTTTGTGATCCCCGGCTCCTCCATCAGCCACTTACTCATCAGTACCATCTTGGAAAATGATCCCGACGCCATGGCCAAATTGGGGCCGGTTGTCAATCTTTACGGTGGCTTTGCTTACGACGGACGGAGCTGGTGGAGCAAAGAATGCATCGTTGGCAGAGTGGTGGCTTGTTTGGAAGGGACCAAAGTATGCTTGGCATGGCAAGCCAGCCCGATTCTGCCCAAAGACTCGTCGACCTCTCAACCTCTGGTCAATACTTGGTTCGAGGTTGAAGCCAAAGACCCTCAGAACAGACCTGGAAAACCGAGGATCAAGCAGGGATCCAAGCTGGCCCTGGAATCCACACCCCTGGGCCCGGGGGACTTGACCAGCGGCGCCTTCAGCTTGCCCCTCGACGACCAAAGCGACTCCTCTATGAAACTGAGAGTCGCCTTCCAGGAGCTGACATTCCAGGTCAAGGCCCAGCAACCCCCGGCCGCTGAGCATCCGATCACAGTGGTCGAGCAGGCAACTGCGCGCTTTTCACTTTCCTCTGACACAGCGGCCCCCGACACACAACTCTCGTTCCCATTGAAGTACAACGTACAGTTCATCTCCTCCCATGAATGCCGCCCGCCTGGCGGCATGATCATCAGTCCCCACGCTCAGAACGTCGCGAGCAGTAGTAGCGACAGCAGTAGCAATCTACCCAATCAGCGATCATCGTCCCCGTTCAGCGCCTCGTCTGACCGCCACCGTCACCACCGTCTTCCGGGCCACCCGCTGCATTGCCGCTACGCGTACCGCTGGGTCCACCTTCCCTCCCTGGCGGAGGAATTCGCGGCGTCGGACCGCATTCGATCGGCCCTCGACCCGGAGGAGACCATGATCCTGGACGCGCGCGGCTCCCGGGAGAAGGAGACTTTCGCCCGCGCGTGGTGCGCCTCGGTGGGGTATCATGCTATCGTGGGTCGCGCGGGGCGGACGTGTCTCTCGTGCTGTATCCGGGAGGCGCGCGCGTTACAGGTCAAGGTCGTCATCCGCACGGGCGACGGTCCTGTCACTCCGACTTCATCTGTGCATGTACTGTATGGGGGTGATTAGTATCCAACCGGGGCTTTTATTCGTATATTTGGGTTTGGATAATTGAACTTCTGTGTTGATGTGTCGGCCTGTTGCATAATCTCTTCACGGACCTCATTACTCACTTGGTTGGGCTTTCTCGTTAGCTTTCAGGATATTATCTACCACTTTACAGCAGAAGGGAGATAGGAGTAGGATTTTCTTTTTGACCCAAAAGCCAGAAAAACACCTCGTGCATCACGGTATTCCCAAGGATACTTTGGCTATTGGCTAGCTGACGAACTGGGTGATAAGTGTTTTCGTCCCTTGTTTTTGTAATTGGCTATAATTGCAAATGTTCGAAGACCGCTCTTTCCTTCGAACTGGAACTGGAATTGGATAATGTATCTGAAGTTGTAAAATGCCAAGGAAGCTTACCTCCAACCAGAGGTTCTTTACATGCATCCACCCCCTCCCTCCTTACTCCAAGCAGTCGAGAACCGCACGTGATGGTATAGGTACAAGCATATGGTAACCTCGATTGACCCAAGCATTCAGCACAAATTCTGAATTCGACAAACCGGAGGTCCACTCCCACCCCCAAAGCTGTCACCCTTCCGCCCTAGCCGTGGCTCCCAGCCGTTGCCCTCCTGGTGGAAACCTCAGTGCTTGCTAGTCTCTCCCCTCACGTCGGACACTTTTCCCTTAACTCAAAACCCAAAGCGTTGAGAGCGTCTACTCGGCTAAGCTCTCCGAAGGCCAATCGCCGCAACGAGATTTGCCAATCTGTAGCTGGACTTCAAGCACATGTACACCGATACGTCAGTTCACATGCATCGGGTCCAAACCCGGTTTCTGGTGTTGAACAAGTCCCATAGGGTCCTGCGGTGCTGTGGTTTGGTCTCTCCTGATTCCTGATATAGTGATCTCCTGGTAAAGCATTAGGCCTGTGAGTGACAGGGTCGGATCTCGGCTACTGATCGTATTATTGCGTTGAGTTTGCTTGCACCACCACGTTCATCATCATCCAGTTCACGGAAATTGACTCACACAAAGATACAAACCCGTTAAATGGCAGGCTCTCTAGTGTATCAGGCGGAGAGACCTACTGTACAGCACTTCGTCCTAGATATCCTGACCGAAAAAATGGTGGGAGACTGGCCTGCGATCGGATTGGTGGACCGTGCTTGGGCGCGCAGTGTATTTTCCCTGCCGCAGCGACTTGACCGTGGAGCACCTTTACCTCGCAGTGTGGTGATGTATACATAGCAGCAGCATGATGTGCATAACACCTCGCCCACCCTACCAAATGTGAGAATATATCCAAAAAAAATATGATATATTCAAAAATCTCAATCATCCATATCAAAAACAGACGAAGGGAGCAAGCGAAGCGAAGTGAACAAAAGCAACAACAGCAACAACAACAACAACCCTCAAATCAAGCCCCAGGTACCAGCAGCTTCTTCCCCTCCCTTCCCGTCCCCTCCTCAAAACCAACCAAACCACACCCACAGCCAACAAAAGACTACACCCTCTCCAAACCCGTCATCCCCGACCCCGAACCCCCACTCCAACTAGCCTTCAATGCTCAAGGCCGACCACCCTGCCCCTGTCCCTGACCCGGCGCCCCCGAACTCTGCCCACTAGGCGCGCTTCCACTACCGGAACCGGAACCGGAACCCCCACCGGAACCCCCATCGGACGAAGAATCATTCTCCACGCCCCCATCGGCCGTATAATAAGCGGCGGGGGTAATGCTGGACGACTCGTCGGAGTCGATGGCGAGGGAGATCCACCCGAACACGCCGTCGCTGATCGAGTCGCCCAGCAGCACGTACTCGACGAACGGGTCGATGGAGTCGGCCTCCTCGGAGAGGATGGAGTCGTTGGCGTTGGTGGTCAGCTCCTGGGTGTTGGTGCTGTAGGGGCTGGTGGCCTCGACCTCGGTGATCAGGTCCTGGTCGAAGAAGAGCTGGCCCACGTGGTTGGCCGTCGTGCTGTACAGGCCGTCCGTCAGGGTGTCGTTGGCGTTGGTGCTGGTTGTGGTGTTGGGGTTGTGGCTTAGGACTTTTTGCGCGGGTTAGTATGGGGGGTATGGGGGGAAGGGGGCTTGGTTTTGAGGGGGGATTTTAAAAATAGGGGTAAAGGACAGGGCAGACAAGCAAACTCACCGTGGATATGAGTCGCGCGACTGGTGTAGTGGCCCGGGAAGATGGTTTGGAATTGCACCACGCCCGAGTCGTCGGTTTGCTGGATGCCGCGCAGGAAGGTCGCGTCCAGGTTGGAGGCGTCGTTCGAGTTGCCGTTGCCGCTGGCTTGGATGCCGGAGTAGACGCCCTATTTGGCCGGGTTTAGTTTCTTGTGGATGAGTTTGACCAGGGGGGAAAGTAGGGAAAGCGTACGGTGGCGTTGCAGTGCCAGAAATCAATGTACACATCCGGAACGGGGTCGCAGGTGCTGCTGTCTACCAGCTGGATGTCCAGGTACAGAGGGACACCCTCCTGGGAATCGACGATGTCGCTGCGGATCAATTCGCCGCTGACGTCTGATGACACTGTCAGTTGGATGATGGCTGAAGGGTGAAGAGGCAGGAGCACGCACAGTAAGGACCCTGGGTGACGTCCGGGCCGAGCACGCAGCTGGCGTTGGAGGCGAACAAGGTATCATAGTCCTGAGTGTTCTCGGTCACATCCAACGAGGACAGGTGGGAGGTGTTGAGGATAGTGGTCAGGTCGCGGGCCTTGAGCAGAGGTGCACCTGTTGAGTGTGAGCATGCATGCTTCGTTCCTGAGTATAAGCTGTTGATGGGCCATGCGTACGAGTGGACAATCCCTTGCGACGGCGCAGAGAATCCAGCGTCGCCTGGCGACGGGCGATATTGCTGCTCTCGTGGCCACGGGCCTTGAGCTTGCTGGCACACTGGCTCAGACCGCGAGCGTGCATGGGAGCACGCTTCAAAAAGGCAGCACGCTCCGCGGCTTCCGCGCGCACGTCGTGGCCCGGATGGGCAGAGGTCATGCCGGCTAGACCAGCTAGGCCGGCAATCACGGTGGCAGTAACGCGAACCATACTGACGAGGGGTGCTTTGCAGAAAGAGAGGAGACTGAGTGAGTGGAAGAAGGAATGTGATGCTGTTGTTATCTTCTCATGAGATGCAGCAGCCAGCGCCCGCTTTTATATCTTCTGCCCTTTTCCTCTCAACCTCGGAGTGACACGGATACTGACCATTCCTCCGTGATGCTGCCGCTGCCAGCCCCAGCTGACGCAAGCCATCTGGACCCCCGTCTTGCGCAGTCGACATGATAGCATTTGACAGGAATATAGCACACACATATGCGCACGCGCATCCACAGAGACACAGGGCGCAGTAGACAAACAAGCGAGTTAGCTAGCAAACTACGGAGTAGCTAGCTCGATAGCTGGCACAAGTGCTGGCACAAGTGCTGTTAGACCCGCCGGCGGGGACAACCCCCCGCCAAGACATCACCACTTTGGAGGCTAGAAAGACCTCAGAAATCTGATCGATTGCCTCATCCGCTTCCTCTCCGTAGAAGTCAAGCAAAGATCTCAAAGGAACGGGCCAGACCCGTTATGAATCGGGGTAGGATCATCGGCCGCTGACGACGCGGCCGGGATCCACCCTCTCGCGCTTCTCGCACAACAAATCCGGTCACTCTCACAGGCACGAGGGTCCGTTTCGTAAGCGGATGGCAGACAGGCATGCTTAAAATCGACGAGACTGGGATTGGTCGCCAAAGACATTTTGGGGTTCAGCCACATGTCTCATCAGTGGATGGATAGATTGAGGCAGCGGAAGATGGACCCTGCAGTATGCACTGTGTATACGGTACAATATCTTCGGCCGGCGTTTTTAGGGCCCTGGTGCTAAATCGAAGCAAACAGGGTGAAGCACCCTTATCCAAAAAGATTTCTACTCTCAAATTCTCGTCAGCCTTCGACAGGAATGCATCCTCCATCCCACCTACAGAGAAACCTACTCCATCCTTCAACCAGTTAAACGGGTATCCAGGATCTACCGCGAAAATCATCTCAAAAAAAAAAAGAAAACAGATGGGCAGAAAATAAGCATAACCATAAAGTTTGAAACACACCCAACCACCAACGACCCTTGTTTCCTGACCCCAACTCACCAGCAGTGCTCCACCAGCTTACGCCATCCTTCTGCAACCCCTCGGAGCCCCTAGGGCCCTAGGGCTAGCCCCCGTCCCCCTAACGGTCTTGGCAATGCACCGGGCGGATTTGGCTGCCCCCCCCCCCTGCGCCAAGCCTTTCTCTTTCTTTCCCCTCCCGCCGGAGCTGAGTAATTTGCCCCGCCTCATTCGTGGAATATCCTCGGTTGCTGGAGATGATCTGCACGGGTACACGTACTATGAACGAGCTGGTCGCGTACATGTTGTTTATTTACGGGGGTTGTCCTTGGCAGGGCGGAGCAAACAAAGTCCAGCGTTTATGTAACCGCACCCAGAACAAATGAGGAAGATTATGCAGCACCCTGCGGATTTAGGGTTGTGAGTCAGCGGGAAGTCTATTTTCCAGTGACGTTGGCTCTTGGCTCGGTTGGTTTCATCGGGAGAAGGGCCGGGGTTGTGTATGGATGGACTGTTGAGGGGAGATGAGTGTGATTGAAAGCACGCAGTTCATATGTGCTCCGACACGTGGATTTGCTTCGTGATTGTTGGATTGGAAAGCAGGGTATATTTCTTCAATCAGAAAACATGCATGCATGCATACTGGTCCAGGTAACGCTTGCGTTTTGTCTGCCATCACTTACTGCAAACAGTCACGCCGTGAGATGGAGGGTGGAAGAATTGGAGTCAAACAGGGTCCATCCTAGCCGAGGCAGGATGTCCAGTCGACCCTGATTTGGAGCATTCGGTGTCCCACCTTCGATCTGAAGAAGGGAACAGAAACAAAACGGCATCTAGAAACGACAGACCTGCCGAAGACGTAGTCATCCTTGGCTACACGTATCACATTATCTATGCAACGAAGAGCTAGGATCAAATCAGGTCAATGAAGCATTCAACTACGAGATAAGCCTGGTTCTGTGACCAGAAGCTTGTGGGATGCTAGAGGCGTAGCTTCATCGGCTATCCCGAGGCCTAATCCCAGCCCACGGAGTAAGTCGACGCTGCTATGCCAAGTTATAGTGTAATTTTTCGGCACTAAAGCTCTGTACTTGGAGTCATAGGACTTTATCTACTTGACCAATAGCAACTAAAGGCTTCACTATGGATTTAACAGATAGAACCTTTAATATTTCAGGATACGAAAGTCGATTTATTGTTCCAATCGATATCTCGACTCCAAATCAAAAAAGAAAGAAAGAACGAAAGAAAGAAAGAAAGAAAGAAAATGAAAAAAAAGAAACCATAAATCTTCTTCGTGTCTAACGGTGACAGAGGAGAATTTCCATCTCCGAGATTCCTTTGGTCGCGCAGCAAACAGTATATGATAAAATAATTCTTTCTGGCCTGGCTCCCCTGTCAGGACCGGCTCTTCCCAGCGTTAAAAAATACACAGCTCAGCGGCAGGAACCCGCCAATCCATTTATGGAATGCTTTGGACCCGAGCAACTTGATCTTCACTTGGGCTCTCTATTCCTTCCAAATTCCACACTTTCTTCAACACACGTGGGTCATCCTCGGAAAGCAGCCTGGGCTCTCGAGTTGAGTTGATCAATCCCGTCCAAGTAACACATTTTGAGCAAAGTAGAGTATATGTGTATAATGCACTTCGACAGTGGCCAGCATTGGACACAGCGTCGAGGACAGTAGAGCGCGTCGCCACTAGCCACATCCAACTCTAATATCATAGAGTGAGCGGGAACTGCTCCCTGGTAACCGTCTATACGCCTTGCTGATCAACTGGCACGATGGATCCTGGCCCAGAAGACTTGTCGAATTTAAACATCTTTTTCTTTGTTTTTTTTTTTTCCCTTGTTCTCTCCCTTTTCTCTCCTTTTTTCGACTCTTTAAACCTCCTCTTTTCCCTTGAACAAGATGCTAATTGGTGAAGAGTACAGACAGGGCATACATACCGTACCTGCGCCGAGAGAAGGATCGAGCATCGAGCATCGAGCATCGGGCATAGACAAAAACAGACCGGTATGTGGAACCTCCTATTACAGCGCCGCCAGGCTCAGGATCAGCCCCAGATCCTGATTTAGATGGATGCGGAGCATGATCGGGCTTCTCCAACGTATATTGACTCTGCTCCGATGTCAATGTTGGCAATGAGAGAATGCCTCGAGCCCGAGTCCCGGAGGCACCATGTATTGCTGGGAAGCACCTAGTGAGAGGAGAAGAAGGTCCAAGTCGGTGTTCACTCCGAGGAAACGAACCTGGTTGTAGACGAAATGATTGACTGGCCAAGTTGGTTAAACAGTAACGGCAAGAGTGATGCTTACTTGGGTACTGATCTGCCCAGCGTATTAAGTGCTTTCCTGTCCGAGTGAGTGAGATGTTACTGGCTGTGGATTTCTAGATATATATAGCAGTCGAGAGAGGGGGTACGCTCGGCTGGCTATAATTCCGAGTTACTCGGGTCGAAAAGATTCCTTCCATATTTGGACTCGGGCATGGAAATGACTACCTTATCCCCATGGCTATACTAGTATTCAAGGCGAGTGCTGACTTATCTCTTATACAAGAGGTAATGAGGTCAAGTGCTTCAGTCTGACCTTGTAGAATCATCGTCCACGGTGTGACAGAAGCAATACACTTACCCTTGCCAAGCAAAGCGTACAAGATGGATATGCGCGAAATTGCCATTACATTCCAGCGGAAACCTACATACTGCCACAATGATCACACGTATACCATTTATTAACTGGCCAACCCAGTATCTACACACATCTCTCTAAAACTCATCCCGCAGCGTACGGACTCATCTTGCGCAGCCGCTCGCCGAACCGCCACAGCAGAAGCGGCGCAGGGATCCCCAGCCCAATCGACACAAATGCCAACAGACTATTGCCCCACCCGTACCCGAGCGCCTGGTACATGTAGGTCGCGAACAGGGGGAACCCGAAGCCGGCCAGCGAGCGCATGCAGGCGACGGCGGCCAGGGCGCTGGCCGCGAAGCGCGTGTACGAGTCGACGATGTACGTCTGCACGCACTGGAAGGTGATGATGTTGCCCAGCCCGTACAGCATCGCGCCGATGTTGGGCGCGATCCAGTGGCGGTGCGTCTCGGCCGTCCAGCCGTAGATGAACAAGCCGGCGGGCACGAGCACGGCGCCGAGGTACAGCAGCGGGACGCGGAATTCCGGCCGCCCGACGCCGCCGCTGCGGGCCTTGAGGCGGCGGTAGATGCGGTCGTTGAGCGGGGCGCAGAGCTGGGAGCCCAGCCAGAAGCCCAGGCCGAGCGAGATGTAGTTCAGCCCGCCGATGCCGGTAGATTCGTGGTAGTACTCCGGGCTGGTCCACAGGGTCGGGAACGTCGCGAGCACGAGGTACATGGTGCCGTAGATGTAGGCGAGGTACAGCGCCAGCAGCTGCACGATGGGCTGCGTGCCGAGGAGTCGGAACGGACGCATCAAAGCGCTCCGCATCACCTCGCCCAGCGTGCGGTTGGCGCGTTCGTGTTCCGTCTGGTAGGCTTCATCGGACGTCTCTTTACGCAGGCGTTGGGCGCGTTTGCGGAGAATCACCGGGGCGTAGGTCTCGCGGAGGAAGAACAGACCGGCGAACTGGATCATGGCGTCGGCGATGGAGGTGGCGTAGAACACCCAGCGCCACGTGGTGTTCTCGGCGATGAATCCACCGGCAATGGGGCCGACGGCGGGACCGAGGAGCGGAGCTAGACTGTAGATAGCGACACTCTTGCCTCGCTCTTCGGGTCTGAAGCAGTCGGAGAGTACACCACCGCCGATCTAGCACGTAATTAGCGACACAACCGATGCCTAGCCACGATGCAGCACTCACTGCCAACGGGGCACTTCCGCCCAGGCCGGCCAAAAACCGGAAGACGATCATCTGAGCCTTGTTCTTCGAGAAGCCGCAACAGATGTTGAAGACGAGGTAGAACAGGTTGGCGAGTTGCAGCACAATCACTCGCCCATAGATCTCGGACAGCGGACCCAGGAACAGCGGGCCGACTGCATACGCCAGCACAAACACCGACAGCGTCATGCTGAGGGTGACCTCGTCCGTGATGTGAAAGTCCGACCCGATAGCCGTCAACGCGGGTGCAACCATCGACGACGACACCGGCGAGATGAAAGTGAAGCATGATACCGTGACCACGGCCGCCCACTTCTTCTTCATTGGCCAGTTCTTCGGATTGTCGGGGTCATCAGGTCCATTCCATGTCACCTAATAAGAGGAATATCAACTATCTAGATCCCGAGCAATACAAGAGCAGCACATACCAGCTTAGGATCATTTTCAGACCGTGCCGTCCTGGACTTCTCCAACGCCGCCGCCGCCGCCGGGGGGCCAGCAGCTTCCAGATCGCGATCTCGCTCATTCACAATCCCACCGCGGACCTCCACAACTGGCTCATCGCTCTTCTCTCCATCTTCGTCAGAGTCCGTCTCTAGCGCATGGTCACTGTGGTACACGGACTGATCATCCAGATGTTTTCCCGAATGAACCCTATCAATCTGTGCCGTGCTGTGCCTGGAGCTAGACCGCCGGAAAGACCCAAGCCTATATGGACGCTGTGGCTGGGTGCCTGGCTCGGTGCTAGATGAAGAGGACGAGGATCTCGACCGCGTGGATCTACTCGACTCGGATGGTGCAGCGGGTTTGGACATTACCACCAGATGAACTCACCCACACATGTCAGGGTGTATTGCTTGGCGGCCAAGAAACCAGAAGAGGACAGAAGAAAGCTTAGCGGCCACCAGAAGGAAAGAGGGAAAATTCGAGAAGCACACCAAGGGTAAGAAAAACCGGCGGGCCGCAACAGATCTGGGGACACTCCATTGTTATAAGCGCTACTACTACCTATCAAGGGAGATACGAAAACCCCGACAGTGGGAAAAAAAGAGAATTCGGCGACCCAATTGGCAGCTATGCAGCCAGCAAGCAAGCAAGCAACGTGCGGTGATAACAGACAGATTAAGTCCGGTGATGAGTTTTTGCAACCGCAGTCCATGATTGTGTACTTCTTATTGGCTGCAGAGTGGTGGAGTGACTGTTTCCAGGCAAGAGGTGGAGATGCGTTGCACCCGAGGCGGCCTGGGCCGAGGCGACGCTGGCCGAAACAGGCTAGAAACCGGGAAATGATAAGAGTCTGCGTTGTTGCGGTGACTGCTGGCTGCGTTGGTCATATGTACGTCGATATGATCGAAGGTTGCGGGTGGACCAAGTGATAAGGGAGAGCGAAAGCAATGAGTCGCAAACAGGGAATTGGAAAGGCTGGAGAAATGGCCGGATCGAAGCATTCTGGATGAATACGGCTATTCGGAACTCGGCACCACGTCACGTGGTTTATTCTCCGCCTGTCTCAGTAGACCACCGCTAGGCTCACCGCCCTGGTTGTCAGGCAGAAGTACCGGCTGACACATCCTCCATTACGTCACCGGTCAATCTTCCTCCGCAGCTCAACTCATTGAATTAGCACAATTGCTCTGCATATTCAGCTCTTCGATCCTCTTATGTACAGCCCTCTTTTCTCCAAAGCCGAGTGCATTTTGTTAAGCAATCTGAGAAAAAAAGCCGTTGGGGACAGTCTGACTACGAGCAATCCGAGGACACCTGGAAATATAGTTACAGGGAGTAAGATAACGTCAACGATAGGCAGACACATGTAGCTACAACAAATCATTAACACATCGAGATATCAAACTGGACAGGCCTAAAACACTGACTAGGCGCTATCAACTGCCTTATTTTGAATTCGCAAAATCACTGGTCACGAGGTTTGGTATGGACACCACTAGTGAATGGATCAAATAGCTGCAGGGCAGCATTCAAACGTTATATACTTTAAGTATAACAAGATAGAATTAAACTTAGATTGAGTAAGGTTGAAATTACCGAATAGAAGAGCAGACCGGATGTCTCCGCAGAGGCAGCAAAAACCAGGTTCAACATTCAACTGAGGCTGGTCGTCCCCGAGGCCCCGGTCTCCCATGTGTTGCGTCAGGGCGATCTTGGAAGCCTATCGCATACTATGCATGATTTATCATGGAGTTTATATTGAACTTGCTCTTTCTCGGTATTGCTATTCCTGAGATTGTGCAAAATGCGCCCTCCTACGTCCTACACTACGTAGTTCAAACTTACTGGCGAGCCAAGTATCAAAAATGACCAAGTGACTGTCATTAGATTTGCACTCACCCAAAGGGCAAGTGAGTAATTAGAACCATTAGTACATAAGCGTAAACCCATGGGTATTCATCCGTCCAATTCCTAAAAGCACACCAGCGCCTCACCACCTTCACTACCAACACCTGCAGACTCTCACAGTGCCCTTAAACCTCCTGGTGAATCACCTCAGCCTCCGCCTTTTCGGCAACAGTCTTGTCGGTGATGCCCATCTCAGAGGCAAAAGTGCCGTGGGGCTTCCATCCTGCCGAGGTACGGGGGGTGGTCTCCTCCATCATCTTATCAACCTGCTCCAGGGTGAGACCCTTGGTCTCTGGGATGAGGAAGTAGGTGTAGACGAAGCAACATGCGCACAGGGAACCCCAGATGAAGAACACCTTGGCACCCAGGTTACCCTTGTCCTTGTCGACCATGTAGGGGGTGATGACGGCAATAATCTAGTAAGGGGTTAGACGCACGAAGCCAAGGCACATCGGGGTTGAAAACTTACGCAGTTCCAGAGCCAGTTAGAGGCGGTCGACAGAGCCACACCGCGCGACCGAACGGGCAGAGGGAAAATCTCACCGATCACGACCCAAGCACCAGGTCCCCAAGTAGAGGCAAAGAAGAAGATGTAGATACAGATGAACGAAATCATAGCACTGACGGCCGACTTGTTACCACCGTCAGTGACACCGACGATAGCGACGATGAATTGACAGATGACCATGCCCAGAGCACCCCACAGGAGAAGTGGACGGCGACCGATGCGTTCAATGGTGTAGAAGGCGATGGGGGTCGAGCAGACGTTGACAATAGTCGTGATCATGCTGATGAGGAAGGGGTTGTCAATGGTTCCAAGCTATCGGCCATGTTAGAAAAGCTCATGGTTAGGGAACGGAGCAAACTCACCGACTGGAAGAAGGTAGTTCCGAAGTAGAACACGAAGTTGACACCAGTCCACCTAGGCAAGTCAGTATGAGAGATTCAGATAATCAAAGCGTACTGGAAAGCTTACTGTTGCATCATTTGCAGGGAGGTACCCAGAATAGTCCGGCGAAGGTTGCTGTTGGGAGTCCAGAGGCTACCACGGAAGCAGTTGAACCAGCTGTTGAAGTAACCACTCTGAGGGATAACCTGCATCTCATACTCGTGATTGGCGACAATCTCCGCAAGCTCCTCCCGGATGTAGTCGGAATCCTGAGACTGGCCGCGGACACGTGCCAGGACCTCAGCGGCCTTGTGAAGGTTACCCTTCTTGACGAAGTAACGGGGCGACTCAGGCAAGAAGAAAAGGCCGATGCCGAGAATCAAAGCCCAGGCGATCTGGAGACCAATAGGAATGCGGTAGGAGCCCGAGTCGGTACGGTTCTCCGTGCCGTAGTCGACACAGGAAGCCAGCATGAGACCGATGGTGATACAGAACTGGTATCCTGACACAATGGCACCACGAACCTTGCGAGGGGCGATCTCGGACATGTACAAGATGATGATGGCGGAAACGAAACCGACACCAAAACCAGCAATGAGACGGCCTACCACCAACAGAGCGACACTGCTGGAAGCTGTCTGCAAGATGACACCGATAATGAAGATACCACAGCCGCTGATGATGGTGAACCGACGACCGAGCCAGTCAGACAAGTCACCAGCGATGAGAGCACCAAAGAAAGTTCCAGCAGAGAGAATTGAGGTAATCAAAGACTTCTTCCAGGAGGGCAAAACGAATTTATCGGTGGGGGTAGTAGCATAATCCTAAGCCAGCTGGGGTTAGTGTCGCGTGACGGAGTGGATGGGGATCGCAGAGGCAGAACCACATACCAGACCCTCGAAGCGTTCGATAAAGTAGCGCATGCCCATGACACCACTGATATAACCGGAGTCATAACCGAAGAAGATACCACCAAAGGCAGCAAAGGCACACATCAAGTAGGCCTTGACTGTGACGGGGGCCTCGACCCGCTGGCCGTTAACCGTGCCGTCAGCCATGATGACTGGTAGGAATTGGGCAGGCTGTGATGATGTGATGCTCTATGTAAACCAAGAAGGTATAGGCAGCGAGATAGTCACAGCAAGGAAAGAAGTATGACACAGGTGTCGAACCAAGACACACCAAGAGATGAGAAGTGTGAAGGTCGAAGGAAGAGAAGGAAGAGAGTTGCGGTGAGAAGATGCACAAACAAACCGGCCGGGGGGAGCTGCAGGCGTTTTTATAATCTGAAACCCCGATCAGGAAGGGAAAGGAAGAGGGAGAGGGGAAGAAGTTTGCATTCGGGCCAGACCCGGACCCGGGGAAGAAAGTGGATGGAAGTTGCCCACGGGGATTTCCCCAACCGTCGGGATCGTGAGGGAATGGAGCGAGAGTGCAGTGAAGTGAGTAGGTCAGTGAGTCTTCGTTCCTTCCAAGTTCCCCCCTTCACTTGACTTCTTTTTGCCTTCGTCTTGCCCCGATTAGGAATGGACCCTTTCCTCGGTCAACGCCGCCATCTTCAGCGATTTGCCATCGTTCCGAGGACTGCCCGAGCAGACCCTCACTAGCTGGATATTTCGAAAATTGACCAGTCTAGGGTCTAGGTTGCTCTTCGCATACCTTCTCGATGACCACCGCTCCCGAGTCCAGTTTTGGAGCCGAGGGAGTCCAACCCTGGGTTTGTGTTTCAGTATCCACTTTGTCAAGTACAGTACTTGGAAGTGGATGGGGGGGGGGGGGGGGTGGTTCTCTTTCTTTTTTTCTTCCAGCCGCATATGGTACGACCGTAAGCATGGTTGTTACTAGTTGTCACTGGTTTAAGGCTGACCTACTATACTCTGATTAGTTCTAGTCAGGCCAGCCCAACCAGCGAGACACTATATACAGTACTCCCGTACACCCATGGAGTAAATGCAGGGTATGCTCACTAAGTGGGAAGAGTAGGTTCTGCAGCAGTAGTTTGGGGTAGTAGTAGTAGTACTCCAGAGCAGTAGTACGGGGTAAGATCCCGATTCAGTCAAAAGGCGTCAACCATGTGCCAGGCGGGAGGTGCCTCGGGCTGGCTGACTGACTGACTGACTGTCTGTCTGTCTGTCTGTTCTCTTCCAATCTCTCTCCCTCTCCCTCCAAGTTCCAACTCTATTGTTCCAGCCAACGAAAGGCTCGGGTCATAACCGGCGAGCCACTCGGGCAAGGCCCTCTCGTCGCTTGAAGAACCACCGCGGTGATTGGGTGGAGCGAGCTGGGGTCGGAAATTTTCCCCTACCACGTGTGCCGTCTGGGGGGGGGAATTCAAGAATGAGGTCTCCACCAGCACGGGGAGGGATTGGGTGAACAATGCTGGATTTTAAGGTTAGGCGCTGGGTCGGGGCTAACCGACTTCAGCTCCAGCCCGGGGTTCAGGTACTTTAGTGACTGGTCTAGTCTCGTCTCAGACAGTCAGACTCTCCTCTCACTTCCCTCGTCCCGCATCACGAGTTCCAATCCGGGGTTGAATTTTTCAGGTAAGCGAAATGCCCAGACCTGGAAACTGCAACCCCAAGCCCAGCCCAGCCTGAAGCCCCCGGGAAACAACTTGCGTCTGACCACCACTGACCAACCACTGCCAAATTCGATTTACCTTACCATTGAGATGCTCTGTAACCTCTTGACTTTGGGATTTGACTTTGAAATTTGCCTTCTGACATCTTAGCTTCTTTGTCATTAATCGATCGGATCTGACCGACGTGGTGTGCATGGGAGTAGTAGTACACGTATCTAGGATCTGGGGTGGTAGACGAGGGTATCGCCACTGCCTGGGGTGGGGTTCAGGTCGCGGAGAGCACAGCAGGCCCAGAAGCGAGTGAGAGAATCGGGAGAGGGGTGACATGCCAAGAGACTTGGCAATTACAAAGGTTGCACCCGCAGCAGCAGTTTTTTTTTTTTATCTTTTTTCTCTGTTTTCCCCCCCTTGGCACCACCTACCCGACTTTCCCCCCTCCTCCTCTCACTCCTCCTCCTCCTCCCCCCCAGGTTTGTTGTTGGTCCCTCCCCCGTTCCTTTCAAATGCGGGGGGGAAGAGAAAATTCGGAGTTGAATCCCGTGCACTTCTCCCAAACTTCCAATCCATGGATCGGTTCCGGTGAGTGTTTTGCGTTAGGTAGCAAAGGAATATGACAGTCAACAATAACATGCACTCATACCATTACTGTAAGCTAAGGTGGTACTGTGATCCCGCTACAAATAG